TCCATAGCAGTGACCACAGGAGAAATGACCCCTGGTAGGAGCACAGAAAGAAGAAACACCATAGTCCCAGTGGGATGCCTTCATCTGCCCCAGCTGCAACAAAACAGGTCTCTCCCACACTGGTCTCTACAGCAGGCACTAAAATCATCCAACAGCTTGACCTCACCCCAAAAAAGCACACTCCTCCATTGTCTCCCAAGACAGACAGATTCCAACCTTTGTACAGTCCAGCCTCAAAATGCAGGAAATTTAGTTCCTGACACACTTCCTCCTCCTCTCCTTTCTGCCTCCAGTTCACCATCTCTGCACTTACTGCAGCACTACAAATGCATACCACACCTTTAATGTTTAAATGCAGAATAGTTTTTTGTTTTGTTTTTTAAAGCTGCTGTTCCTGCCATTGCTACTATCATAAACACCGCTTACAGGAGATATTTTAAGACTGGAAGAAAGTCAAAAGATGAATGGAAGATTGGCATGATGTTTATTGGACAAATGGCTAAACAAATTAGTACCTGTACTGGATCTGGGAGTTCAGAAAGTGGAGGCTTGTTCAGCCTGCTTCAGTTCCCTCTGAGAAATCAGCATGCAGAAAGAAGCATTCTGTTCACCATGGTGGACAGATGTAATACAATTCTGGCAAGACAGAGGCCTGTGGATGATTGGTTATGCTATATGAGAAATATGTCAGTTTCCTGTTCTGGATGAAGCTACCTTCTGTCTGCAGGAGCATGTTTGTAGTCTGGGAGGATTCTTTGATCCATCATTGTCATGGAGGTCCAAATGACTAGGAATGCTTTTTACCAGCTTCAAGCCATGTGCCAAGTCCAACCATTCTTGGATAGGGATATTTTAGCTACAGTGGATGATGCACTGGTGACCTCAAGACTGGATTATTGCAGAAGGCGGTAGCATGACTTCTAGCTACTTCTGCTTTCCGACAGTACTGCACATTATGCTACTGGGCCACATTTAATATTTGCCACTAGTTTATAAAACCATAAACAACCATAAACAACAGTCTTCCCTACATTACTGTCCTGCCACTTTGGTCATCTGTAGGCACCATTGTGGTACTGCATTGCATCAGAGAATCATTCTGTGGCTATACCGGTTAGGTCAGCAGTGGGGATTCTTTATCTTTAACCAGATGTTTATCTCCCCTCCACCCTGCAGGCCAACTTTGACAGTTGGGTTGAGACCTGTCAGAGTTGCCCCATGGGGCTGGAAGTGACCAAACAAGACTGAACTCCCCACACATCAGCTGATGCACAGAGAGCTCAGTCCTGCTTTCTGCAGGGATCAGCTGTGTGAGCCACAAATCTATCTCTGCATGCACCCCATCTGACATCGCATATGATGTGCGCACTAGATTTAAGCCTCCTAAGTATTGCTAACAGCTGAGCTAAAGAAGGCCTTCTTCTTTTTCATATATATGGGGTAGGGAGAAAATGCAGTATCTCAAGTAGTGCTAGAGTGAGGGAAAAGTTGCACTTGGCCAAATGTGCTAATGTTCATTTCAGAGGCAGAAGCTGAGAAAGAAAGGCAGGGAAAGGCAGCAAAGACACTTTTGGCAGAATAGTTGCCTGTTCTTGCCTCCTGGTTGGCTGGGGACTGGAGCTAGTAAAGGAAAGCATTTGCCTTTTGAGCAAATATTGTTGGGCGAGAACGTATTATGAATGGTGGCAGATATGTGAGACGGTTGGCTGGGAGCATCTTCCGTGATCCTCAGAGTGCCCTTTCCTGATCATCCATTGATAGAGCTCTTCTCTGACATTTTCTGGTGCCGCTCTGTTTTACATTATAGTGAAACCAGGGTGTTCTGTCTTATGACAGACCCTGGGCATCTTATAATCCTAATTGAATAATATTAATGTAATTAAAATAGCACAAACAGGATGTTCTTGTTCATTCAGTACAGTAGATCTGGTTCTTTGTAGAAGATTTCACTTCTGAAAGCTTTTTCTGTCATGACAGCTTTGTCTTGAAGGAACGGGTTTTCAGTTGTATTTCTGCCTGATCTGTCTTTTTGTGTGTGCAAAATTCCAACTTTTCGGCCAAGAATGCAGCTTGCACCACCGTATTTTGCTACATCTTTTCTTTTGCAACAGTCAAAAAGGTCAATTGAATCTACAGCATTTTTGGTCAAGAGACAAATTCAGTAGAACCATGAGGTCAAATGGCGTTAGAGCTAAGCTGGAAAGACCCCTTCCTTTAGCTTCCATACTCAAGGCAGAGAAATGGGGTGGCGAATTGGGCCATTTTTTGCAGCAAGAAGTGAAACTACCCTAAAACATTTCAAGGGGTACTTCAAGATATAGTGCCGTTCCATTGTACCCAGCCACTCCCACACCACGCCCAGAGTTCTCTCTCTTTTTGCTCTGTAGAGATGAATGGGGACATCATTCTTAGCCAATGAAACTGTACCAGGTTAACCCAAACTGGTTTGGCCTACCCCTACTGTAAATACAAACTGAAACAATGATTTTACTATTGAACAAAAGACATATTTTTATCAGATGCTTGTTGTGATTAATAACTGGGAGGGGGGAATACAGTTTTTCCCAAGGCCTGTGAGACCATGGTGGTTTGAATAAGTGCCTGAAATGTGATTTAATGCAAATCACCATTTGCATAGAGCCCACAGCATCACTGATGTCACAGCTCCTCTTCTCCCCAGTGTTTACACCATGTTCGGATAGAAACACCAGACCTCAGTTTGCTAAAAGGCATTTGCATGGCATAGGAAATGCCCATAGTTCAAGGCACAATGTGAAGAAGGTGGTTTAAAACTATGGCCATAGCTAGTTTTACTTTGGGAAGGGATTAATCAGTAGTGGGTCAACATTGCACCTCACTCTGCCCTCCCAACAGAAGATAGCTGGCCCCAGATGTTGCTCTGTAAACGTATACCTTTTGTCTCTGGGATAGCAACCATATAGTACCTGGTTAATACAGGGATGCGGGTGGCGCTGTGGGTTAAACCACAGAGCCTAGGGCTTGCCGATCAGAAGGTTGGCGGTTCAAATCCCCGCGACGGGGTGAGCTCCCGTTGCTCGGTCCCAGCTCCTGCCAACCTAGCATTTGAAAGCATGAAGTGCAAGTAGATAAATAGCTCCAGCAGGAAGGTAAACAGTGTTTCCATGTGCTGCTCTGGTTTGCCAGAAGTGGCTTAGTCATGCTGGCCATATGACCCAGAAGCTGTACACCGGTTCCCTCAGCCAATAAAGCGAGATGAGCGCCACAACCCCAGAGTCGTCCGTGACTGGACCTAATGGTTAGGGTAGCCATTTTTATGTTGTGGACAGAGGAGGCCTGCCTCTTGCAGAAATGCAGTGAGCACAGCTGTTTCTGGCACTGGAGATGCAGTGGTAGATTCTTGCCTGCCCGTTTAAGGCACAGAGTCTTGGCTTGTAAAATGGCAGGGGGGCACTATTTGAGTGTCATGGCAAACGACTCATACACACTACATCGGGAGACGTTTGCATTTGTCTTATATTGAAAGACAGGTCACTTATAGGATGTGGGCCCTTTTGGTGGATATGAAGAATTGCAGATAGTGGCTGAGCTCTGCAGAATGCTAGTTTTTCCACTACCTTACCATCCAGCAATACTTTTAATCAGGGCTGCCTCAAGACATTTTGGCAACTGAGGCAGACCCCAAAGTGGTGTCTCTCCTCCTTGCCAGGGAAGAAGGGGTAAGGGAAGATCAGGAACAAATGGGGAAGAAAAGTCAATATTGGGATCTTCTGCCCTGGTGGATCCTGCTGCCTGAGGTGGTCACCTCACCTTGCCTGATGGGTGGGCCGGCCCTACTTTAACATTCCTTGGGAGCATACAGAAGCTCTAGGGGAAAGATTCCAGGAGCACTGTGACAGATTGGGAAGGATGGTGAAAACATGCTGATAGCAACGCCATAAAAATGAGCGTGCCCCTCTTTTTTAGTACTGAACAAATATTACCCTTATGTATCTGAGCTAGCTCACCCCCTCTCTACTGACCTTTTTGCATAGAAGCAGAGGCTATTGCTCAAATGCCTTGAACTACATAGATGTGTCTACACTGATTTATTTAAAGTTTCACATCAGAGTGCTGAGTTCTTTCACAAATGAATACTAAAAATATGTGACTGCAACCCCTTGGAAAGGTTGCCTGCCATTCTTCCTTTATCGTCAAGGACTGTGTACACACTAAAGCTTTAAAACACATTCCAAGCACATTCTTTCCCTCAAGGAATTCTGGCCACTAAAGTTTGCCTGTCACAGAGTTACAATCCTCAGCAATCCTTAACAAACTAGAAGGCCCAGAATCCTTTGAGGGAAAGAATGTGCTTGGAATATGCTTTAGAGGTGTTGACAATGTACAAAGAATGGCAGGCTTGCTTTCTCAAGTGTTGCAGTTGCATAGTTTTCAGTATTCACTTTCGAAATCAGGAGAGCTGGGTCTGCTTCCCTCCCTGCCCTGATAAATGTCCCAAATGACCTTTGGCAATGCTTTCTTCTTACGTAAGAGGAAAACAACACATACCTGCTCCCCAGGCTGCTTAATGCATGGATACTAATGCAGTACTGTATGTTGATTATGTGTCTTTCTTCTTATTGCTGTAACAAAGTGCAAGAATCTTGTTAATGTTATGATTCTTTAGCCTTTGGTAAAGGGAGATTTGCACAGCAGTTGGTTTGGGGTGGGGGCTGCCAAGTCAGCATTGCAGTGGTACCTTGGTTCTTAAACTTAAATCATTCTGCAACTCTGTTCCAAAACCAAAGTGTTCCAAAACCAAGGCGCTTTTTCCCATAGAAAGTAATGCAAAATGGATTAATTCATTCCAGACTTTTAAAAACAACCCCTAAAACAGCAATTTAACATGAATTTTACTATCCAACAAGACCACTGATCCATCAAATCAAAGCAATAACCAATGTACTGTGCTATAAAATAAATAAGACAGTATTGTAGATGATAAAAAATTTAAAAAGAAATCTTACCTACACTGATGATAGTCATGTTTAGATGGGGCACTTTTATTCATTTCCGCAGTCACACAATCAATCACAAGGGGCTCGTCTTATACACGGGTAGTGCTGAGGGGTGTTTTCTTAATTTGGAGTCCCCAAAATTATACATGGGGGCGTCTTATGCACGGAAAAATATGGCAATAATGATTTGCCTATCTCAATATTTTTACATATGAACTGGATTTCACTCTTGACTTTGAAAGGGAACTTAGAAGGGTATCTCACGAAAGATAAGACATAGGCCAGACATTCTCTGTTCTTCCCTTCTGAATTCAGCTTCCCTGGCTTCAAGATGATGATCCATGTTCCAAGGTGTAGCCAGATAGCAACTGCTGAACCTCGCTTGACAAGTTTCCATGACTTCTGCGTAATGTTTTTCTCCCCAGAGTGAGACACGCATTGCCTGGAGAGATAGCATGACAGGATTGTAGCTTTAAAATGAATGTGTTCAAATTCCCTATCCACCAGTCACTTCTCTGTATAGCCTTGGGGAATTCACTTAACTTCTTTCTGTTTTATTTCCTTACCTGTGAAAGAGAGATGGGTAAGCACAGTACTACCACTGGGGAGCCAGTTAATAGCTTTAACAGGTTTACAAGACACAAGCCCTCAGCCAAAAGACCCTACTTACTTCAAATTAGGGGGATCCTTTCAGGATAAATGGGGTCCTTTGTGGCTGTTATCTTGAGGTGAACACCACACTTCTCTGCTTATGAAAACAGAAACTACTCAGGAATGAGTAACGGTTCATTTGGTGCCTCCTATCTCTTCTTTTTCTTCTTCATTTCAGTTTCCTTAGCCAGGGCCAGATTATATGATGTGTGACAGTGGGGCACACAAGGTTCAGAGAGAGAGAACAGTGAGAGCACATTCTAGCAAAAGAATCTGATCATTGGAAACTAAAAAAGGGATGTGTAGTAATAATAATAAAAAAGTGCCATGATTTGTGCACTTAAGAGGGTGACAAAGGATCCTTGATTGTATGTGTAAAACAAAAGCACAGTTCCTTGTTGCACCATTTGCATTTAACATTTTTATTATTAGAGTCAATTTTAAAAACTAATTTATATACCACTTGATAGTAACAAAAAACTAAGCGGTTTATGAAAATGTTAAATAAAGCATTAAAATTATCAGTGACAACAGTTAAAAACAGGTATTTAAAAACATTCAAAACATTATTAATATCAACAGTAGCTAAAAAGAGATAAAACACACATTATTTCTACATGTCTGGATAGGCTTGTCTGAACAAAAATGTTTTAAGGTTCCAAAAACAGAACATTGCACTAATTGAGTCTTGAAGACACCAGGGCATGAACTACTGTGGCCAAGGTTTCCCTGTCCAGGAATGTCTGTAATGGTTACACCAGTCACATCTTCTAAAAGGCACTTCTAGCCACTAAGGCTATCTGGGCCTCTAGTGACAATACTGGATCTAGAAGCACTCCCAAACTGGGGACTTCTGGGTTGGCGCCATCGATAATGGCGGATTCCCTCTGAGTCTCTGAGGGACCAGCTCCGCGGGATCGGGTCTGACCGCTGCGGCGAAGCGGGGACCCTTTAAAAATCACAGGCGGATGAAGCCTGTGAACGTGAGGACTCGGCGGGCACCTTTTGCGCCCCCCCCCAAACTGCAAAGGGACCCTTTTAAGGGCTCCGGAGTGAGACGGGGTGAGTGGCGCGGTGCTGAGAGTCGACTGCTTCTTCCGCGGAGTGAAGCCGCATAGCCGTTATCGGAGAGCGCTTTTTCCTGGGACAATCTGACTTTGAAAGCAACTACCCGTGAGTAGGATTAAATTGGATTTAAAGGGAAAAACAAGTTAATTCGGCACCGAAGCGGGAAGGTATAAACAGGAAGTCTGCCTTCCTTTCTTGTAAATAGATCAAAGCAAAGAGACTGTAAGCGGAAACTCCGAAAGACGTTTGAAAAAAGATTTAAATCTCAACATCAGGAAAGTGATCTCCCCTCCGGATTGCAGGAGAGGAGGGGGGAAAGGTTTGAACTGTATTTATCTGCAAAAAAGGGGGGGGGAGAGCTAAACTCCACCGCCTAAAACCTGGGAACGGACTGCCCCGAGATAAGAAATGCCGCTCCGTGGAAAGCCTATCGGTAAGCAGAGGACTTTTGACAGCTAACTCTGCAAAAGAGATACAGTGTTTCTGAACTTCTCCTGGCTTTAAAGTAACTGATTAAGTGCAACTGAAACTGTTGTTTTTATGTGAATCGGGGGACTTATAAGGATATTTTTTTTTCTTAAAGTTGCAAGCCTTGGCTGTTACTGTGTCCCCCTAGAGGAGGCTTGACATTGCTACAATAACAACTGGGCTAGAGGAATTTTCCATTTCAAAACAAATTCCAGCCGTGGGATCGACCTTGGACTCTCATGAGAGTGTTATGGCAGATGGAAGAGGAAAGTTAGAGTTGACGCAGGAAAAACTACTAGGTCTGGCAGACCCTATCGGACAGATACTGCGTTGCAGCGAAGGGCTTCAACATCTGGTCCTTCTGGACCATCTGGAATACCAGGGGCTGCACCTCCACAAGTTAAACCAAAAGTTATGTCGTCCGAAGACGTTTTGGCTCAGGCACTTGGTAAAATTAATGAATCTTTGGAAAATTTAGCTAAACAAGTAGCTGAAACAAATAAACAAGTAGCCGAAGCATCAGTTAAAATTGACCAAAATACTACAAGCATTAATAATTTGGGACAGAAGGTGAATACCAACACAGAGTCTATTGAAAAATTACTACAGGAATCTGCTTCGACCCGAAAGACAGCTGAAGAAGCAAAAGATATAGCAACTGCTACTCAAGAGAAGATACCACCGATATATAGGCAATTGGAGGACCACGGTTTGACGTTGTCTATGATTGAATTGAAGGAGAAACAAAGAAATTTAAGAATCAGGGCTGTACCAGAACGTGAGAAAGATAATTTGGCTGATTTTCTTACGCAGGAATTTGCAGATTTCTGGCAACAGGATTTGGGGAAGGAAGAATTTAAGATAGTGAGTGCATTTAGACTTGGAAGAGGAGGAAGGAGGAACAAGGAGAGAGACTGCTTGATCACCCTTCAAACAAAAGAGGAGAGAGACAAAATCTTGAATCTGCATTACCAAGAGACTCTAGAAATTTACGACTCAAGTGTGGAGATATTTAAGGATATTCCAAAACATCTTTTGGATTAAAGGCTTAACTACGGAGATCTGGTTGCCCTGTTGAGAAGTAACAGAATCAGCTTTAGGTGGGAATTCCCTCAAGGCCTGTCTTTTAAATATAAAGGAAGAAAGATAAAAATAAGATCAGTCAATGACAAGGATAGGTTTTTGAAGGATCACGGAGAAGATCTACAGAAAGAAGTGGAATCTGGAGAAGAGCCAAAAGCACTGGAAAAAGGAATACTAGATATAGCAAACCTATCTTTTGGATTGCATGGTCCAGAGAAAGTGACACCACTGACAGAACAAGAACAGACACTTGGCGCAGTTGGGGGTAAAGCGAAGTAACCCCATCATGGCTTTGCAACTGTTAAGTTGGAATTGTAATGGTCTAAACTCTCCTCGGAAGAGAAAAAGTGTTTTTCATTTACTAAAAAAGGAACAATTGGACTTGATTTGTCTACAAGAAACACATGTAACAAGGTTACACAGGAAACTACTGATTAACAAGAGATTGGGACAGGAGTTTATTTCATCCGACAAAGTTAAAAAAAGAGGAGTTGTGATTTATGCAAAGGAGAGACTATTACCGAAATTTATTTTTAAAGACGACCAAGGAAGATTTGTGGCAATTGAAATTCAAGTTCAAGGAGAGAAATTTTTGATAGTAGGAATTTATGCACCGAATGAGGGGAAATCTGAATTCTTTAAAAAGTTGCATGAGACCTTAATGGACTATTTGGATTACAATCTGATTTTGATGGGGGATATGAATGGAGTAGTATCTACAAACATGGATAAGGCACAAAGACAGGTAGTTACCAAGGATGGTAGACTACCGAAAACATTCTTCGAGATGACAGATAATTTGGACTTAGTTGATACTTGGAGAACAAAGAACCCCTTGGGAAGAGAGGGAACCTTCTTTTCTGAAGCCAAGATGACATGGACCAGAATTGACCAAATATGGGTAACTAGAGGAATGGCACCAAAGATAAAGAAAGTGGAAATCTGCCCAAAAACCTGCTCCGACCATAATGCTGTAAGGATGGAGTTGAAACTAATATCAACTGGCTCCTTCAGATGGAGGATGAATGACACCTTATTCAGAGATGAAGAAGTGTATAAAAGGCCCAAAAAACCTTGAGAGACTATTTTGAAATAAATATGAATACTAATGTAGAAAATAGAGTAATCTGGGATGCAAGCAAAGCTGTCATGAGAGGGTTTCTGATACACCAGAATGCAATAAAGAAGAGAAGTCAAAATGAGAAGAAAGATAAAATTTTGGGGAAAATAAAAGAAAGTGAAAAGAAAGAGGCATACATTACACTTATACCGAAGACAGAGACCAAAAAGACTCAGCTTAAGAACTACCGCCCCATATCGTTACTTAATGTGGATTACAAAAATTTTGCAGACATTTTGGCCAAGAGATTGAAAAAAGTATTGATGGAAGAGATTCATAAAGACCAAGCGTGCTTTCTCCCGGGAAGACACTTGTCTGATAATTTGAGGAATATAATTGATATTTTGGAAAAACTAGAAGTGAACATAAATACTAAAGCAGTTTTGATATTTGTGGACGCGGAGAAAGCTTTTGATAATATCTCTTGGAGTTTTATGAAGAAGAACCTACAGGGGATGGTGGTAGGCCAAGGTTTTGAAAACGGTATAAGTGCAATTTATTCAGAACAAAAGGCTAAACTAATAGTAAATAATGTGGTGACGGAAGAATTTAGGATAGAAAAAGGGACAAGACAAGGTTGCCCAATTTCCCCATTGCTGTTTATATCGGTCCAGGAAGTTCTGCTGAATATGATTAGAAGGGACCGGTTGGTTAAAGGTATACAGGTCGGAGCCAAACAGTACAAATTGAGAGCATTTGCAGATGACTTAGTATTGACGTTACAGGAGCCAGAATCTAGTACTAAAAGAGTTTTAGAACTGATTCAAGAATTTGGTCAAGTTGCAGGATTTAATTGAATAAGTTAAAGACCAAGGTTCTAGAGAAAAATTTAACACCAATGGAGAGAGAGAGGTTTCAGAATGAGACAGGTTTAACAGTGGTTAAGAAAGTTAAATACTTGGGGATTAACATGACAGCAAAAAATGGGAATTTATTTAAAGACAACTATGAAAAATGCTGGGCTGAAGTGAAAAAAGATTTAGAAATTTGGTCAAATTTGAAGCTTTCATTGCTGGGCCGTATTGCTGCGGTAAAAATGAATGTATTGCCTAGAATGTTGTTTTTGTTTCAAACATTGCAAATTGTGGACAAAATGGACTGTTTCAAGAGGTGGCAGAGAGATATTTCTAGATTTGTCTGGCAGGGCAAGAAGCCTAGAATAAAATTTAAAATATTAACAGATGCAAAGGAAAGAGGTGGATTTGCCCTGCCAGACTTTAAACTTTACTATGAATCAGCAGCTTTTTGCTGGTTGAAAGAATGGTTGCTTCTTGAAAACACTGACATTTTGGATCTAGAAGGTTTTAACAATGTATTTGGATGGCATGCATATCTGTGGTATGACAAGGTCAAAGCACATAAAGCATTTAAAAACCATATTGTCAGGAAAGCATTGTTTAATGTCTGGATAGGATACAAGGACTTCTTGGAAAACAAAACCCCAAGGTGGTTGTCACCGATGGAAGCAAAAGTTCTGAAAAAGCTCAATATGGAGGCCAAATGGCCGAAATATTGGGAAATTCTGGAACAAGATGGAGATAGACTGAAATTGCAGAGTTTTGAGAAATTAAAAAACAAAGTGCGAGATTGGCTTCATTATCAGATAATGGAGGCATATAATTTGGACAAGAAAATTGGCTTCCAGGTGGAAAAATCAAAATTAGAAACAGAACTGTTAGAACCCAAAACTAAGATTCTGTCAAAAATGTATAACTTGCTGTTGAAATGGAATACTCAGGATGAAACGGTGAAATCTGCTATGATTAAATGGGCACAAGATGTTGGACATAACATAATGATGGCTGACTGGGAACAGTTATGGACCACAGGTATGAAGTTTACGGCATGTAATGCCTTAAGAGAGAATATTATGAAAATGATATACAGGTGGTACATGACCCCAGTCAAGCTTGCAAAAATTTATCATTTGCCCGATAATAAATGCTGGAAATGTAAAGAAACTGAAGGTACATTCTTCCACCTTTGGTGGACGTGCCCAAGGATTAAGGCTTTCTGGGAGATGATATATAATGAATTGAAAAAGGTATTTAAATATACCTTCTTGAAGAAACCAGAGGCCTTTCTCCTAGGCATAGTCGGTCAATTGGTGCCAAAGAAGGATAGAACCTTTTTTATGTATGCTAGAACAGCAGCAAGAATACTCATTGCAAAGTATTGGAAGACACAAGATCTACCCACCTTGGAAGAATGGCAGATGAAGCTGATGGACTATATGGAACTGGCAGAAATGACTGGCAGAATCCGAGACCAGGGAGAAGAGTCGGTGGAAGAAGATTGGAAGAAATTCAAAGACTATCTACAGAAATATTGTAAAATTAATGAATGTTAGAATGATGTTGGATAGAAATTAAGTGGTTTCCAGCTGTAATGCTTTAAGGGAATATGAAAAATGGGTTGTTAATAGGTAAAAATCTAACGTTACTATTTTAAGACCAAAGATTAGGATAAACAAAGAGGGTAAGGATTTGCTGAACCAACAAATTGAATTGGAATACAAAAAAGGGAGGTATGAGGAGGTCCGGGAAACAAGCTAAGGAAAAATAAGTAATGGAAAAATTGAGTGGTTTTTAATCATTTTTATTTTGTATTTTGTATTTTTCTTTCTTTCTTTTTTTTCTTTTCTTTTCTTTCATTCTTATATTGTAACATTTGGAAAATCTCAATAAATATCTTATAAAAAAAAAATAGAAGCACTCGCAAACTGCGATCCTGTTTCTTCAGGAGGAGTGCAACCCCTGGCCAGGGCAGGCAATTGACCAATTTCTGGAAAACAGGAACTTTGATCTTATATTTGTTCTTATTTTGTTTGGGGGTACCTGTTTAGCATTTTAAATACAGACCATGGGTCTGCAGAGGTGTATAGGGTGGTAGGGAAGGGGTAGAACCTCTGGTGGGAGACAAGTCCTGCTCCTTCTGGGGTAGTTTGTCCACCTTTAGTCCCCAACCTGTACTCAGCTCTCATCTGTGGTTCCTAGAAGCTGTCAGCATGCAACAGCAACCACACCCCGGGAACTGGCCAGCTAAACTAGGTGAGGGTAGCTGATGGGTCTTAAACCCTCAGTGAATTAGGGACTTTCTCTGCATACAAAGACAGGCTCCGACAGATTGAGTAGATGAGACCAAAAGTGGGTCTAAAGGCCAAGAAGGCAGTTTCTGCATGTGGTGTAGAGGGAAATGAGGGGCAGATGGGGCTCATCAGCCAGGGAAGGTAGCCCATCTAAATGAAGGAAAACTCTGATCCTTAATCTCCACTGCCTTGTCAGATATCTTTGGGAGAAGACTAAGGAGTAAATCCTAATATCCAGAGTGGAGTCCCTAAGATGCCTGGAGAGTGCCTTGTATGCCTTCTTCCAGTAACTCTTGCAGCTCAGCTGGTGCCAAATGTATTGCTCTGCTTTCCTTTGGACATCAGTGAGACTGAGAGGGGGGTGGGTCTTGTTGGCTTGGCAACCCAGGACTTCCATACACCAGTGGTGTAGTTAGGGGGTGCGGGAGGGGCTGATCGCCCCGGGCGACACTGGGCCTGCAGGGCACCCGAGCTGCCGCATCCCTCCTAGGCACCCTCCAGCTGGAGGGCGCCTGGGAGGAATACTCTTTACCTTGGCACTCAGGTCTGTTCTTCTTTCTGTTCTTGCATTGCACCAGGGTGTTTTGTTTTGTCTTGGTTTTTTGATATTATGTCAAATAGGAATTAGTCAATGCCTTTCTTAATGGACTCATTAAATAAAGAGCCCTTTGACCATTTATAGTGGTACCGCAGGTTAAGTACTTAATTCGTTCCGGAGGTCCGTTCTTAACCTGAAACTGTTCTTAACCTGAAGCACCACTTTAGCTAATGGGGCCTCCTGCTGCCACCGTGCCACCGGAGCACAATTTCTGTTCTCATCCTGAAGCAAAGTTCTTAACCTGAAGCACTATTTCTGGGTTAGTGGAGTCTGTAACCTGAAGCATATGTAACCTGAAGCGTATGTAACCTGAGGTACCACTGTATCTGAAATTTGACAGATGTGCTTCATTGGAGGAGGGGGAGGAAAATGTCTGAAATTTTTGTGTCAGCTGGATGGAAAATTTGTGTTTCTCCCCTATATCTTATCATCTGATTGAAGGTTAGTGAAATACAAATGAGAATCCAGCACATGATTCTTCTTTTCAAGATCTTCTGACTACAATGAAGTGTTTCAGATACTAACCACCCCTCAGTGTTTCTGGATTAAATATATTTTTAACCAGAGCCTTGTGGCTTCCTCAGACACTCCTTAATGCTATTACAGATAGTTCTTTCATTATGACCATCTTAGGAAAAGGGGGACTTACTTTTGTAAAAAAGGATCTACATCAGACTTTGCTAATCTTGAATTGTATCTTTCTACCATTGGAAGCCACAGGGACGCGGGTGGCGCTGTGGGTAAAACCTCAGCGCCTAGGACTTGCCGATCACATGGTCGGCGGTTCGAATCCCCGCGGCAGGGTGCGCTCCCGTCGTTCGGTCCCAGCGCCTGCCAACCTAGCAGTTCGAAAGCACCTCCGGGTGCAAGCAGATAAATAGGGACCGCTTACCAGCGGGAAGGTAAACGGCGTTCCGTGTGCTGCGCTGGCTCGCCAGATGCAGCTTGTCACGCTGGCCACGTGACCCGGAAGTGTCTCTGGACAGCGCTGGCCCCCGGCCTCTTGAGTGAGATGGGCGCACAACCCTAGAGTCTGTCAAGACTGGCCCATACGGGCAGGGGTACCTTTACCTTTACCATTGGAAGCATCTTGTGAGTGGAGTTCCATTCACAGGATGCTTCTGCTGGTGAGAAGGAGTGAGGCAACATACACAGTTTCCTTGTCCCTACAGCCCCTGAAAATGTGTTCAGTAAGGGGAGCTGCAAGCAGAGGGGAGAATCAGTGAAAACTGCCTCCCTTTTTCCACCCATTTGTTAGAATGACTTTTATTTCATCACAAAATTTTACCAGTTTCCATAATTTACAGTTGTTCCAATGATTTCAATTAGAGACTCTACTTCTACAGCCTGAAACATCTATACTTTCTGATATTGGTGACATTTGTGAACATTTGATAACGGGATATTAAGTTTTCCATTCTGAAATGACTTATTCCAGAAATACCTGCACAGAAATTACAGCTGCCAGCTGCTTTGTGAGTGCAGGGAAAAGGGGAAATATCTTGGAGGACAGGGGGAGGGGGAGTACCCATCATTAATTAGTATAAAAATGGGTAACTATCAGCTTCTTGCCATCTATTTAACTTTATTCCTAATGTGAGATTAACAGTGAACATTTTGTGGTTGAGTCATGAAACAATCAGTGGTGCCTCTGTTTAAACAGTATGAGCAGCTGTTTACTAGCTTAGAGGAAATGATTGTACAGTTCCAAAATCCATTAGCCTCAGTACTTGTTGCATTAAAATGTATTTAGCTGGACAACCATGTGTGACAAAGGTACACATATTCCTTGTGAGGTAGGTGAAGCTGAGAGCGAGAGGCAGCCACCACCCACATTATATAACCCTAGTCTGAATGTGTAAGAATTCAGACCTCTTCTGTGGAGAACAGCAGATCTGGGCCAGTTTCCTTCTGTTAACCAGGTAGCTTTAGGCACAAGTAGCCAACTGTGGGTGAGGGAGACTGTGGGCAAACAAAACCTTATCCAGTCAGCTCCAGGTTTATCATTAAACTTTTTATTAAAAGTTTCAAAATAAGCAAGTAGACGAATAAGAAGCAGCATGAAATTTAAAAAATAAACAAGTGATTTCTAGCTAACCTCACCCTGATATAGATTCTAAGCTAGGTTTGATAAGTTGGAAGTAGAGTCCCTTCAGGCGCCATGCAAACAAGTCATTGCAGGGCACCTTAGAAGGCATTCAAGGGGGTGACAAAAGCACCAGGGGAGATCTCATTGTGTGGAATTCAATGTAGCCCAAAGTGGGTATGCATGCATGCCTAAAACAAGGTTGCCACCCTCTCTTCTCTCTGCATGCACCCCCTTAACCTGTGCTGGGGGTTCCCCAAAACCCTACAGACAGATTTAGGGAATGCAAGGGTGGAGTCCCATTGCACAAGTGGACCTCATTCTGTGTACACATCAGCTTAAATGAATCCTGCCCATTCTTTTTCTCTCTGGAGAATCAAGAAAAGGGCTGGCCAGGAAGAAATGAATTGATGAATCAGGGAAAAGCCAATTCTTCTTGGGACACCTGAGGTTCATCATGTACACAGAGGGGAATTGACCATTAACACTTGCCAACAACCAAGTAAGCTGATAGAGTAGGTATGAATGGTAACAGTCTCCTCTTAGTCCCTATCCAATGAGATTAACTAAGAATAAACACAACCTTGTGTTTATTGGGTGGGGTGGGGGGATGCTCAAGATGTGTCTTGTTCATTATAACGGAGTAGAAAGTTTCTGGATTGAGACAGAATTTCTTAAAGTAAAGAAAGTCTGACCTGGTTTGTATAATTGAGGCCTGGGAGTCCCAGTAGCCACGTCACCAGTTCCCTGCAAGTTTGGGTCAGTAGAGGGGATGGCATGAAGCTGGTGTCCCGTTCTATTTTTCTGATCACTGCCACTAACTATGCCATACCTTCTCCTCCCAGAAATAACAGCAGGATATTCATACTCCCCTCACACCTACCCCCCCATGCTTACTCCAACACATCTGCCATGCTCATCACACCACAATTAATTGCTTCTCAGTTCTCCACATCCTCTGCCACTGAGGAGTGACCCATTCACTCCAGGATCACAGATTAACACCCACAAACAAATATGTTCCTAAAACCAAAGAAAGATTTTTCCACACAACAGGTTCACTACCCTGTATCATTATATCATATGAACTATTGATGCAAATTCTGCATTACAGTCCCAGCATCTAGCAGACTGCATCATGCCTTTTTGAAAAAGCCTCCAGGACATCCAATACCCTCAATACATATACTTACTTTTAAATTAATATTTCAATTTTAGGTCCAAGGAGACTGAACAAATTGAAGTGAAAACTACCGTCCGCTGTTGTCGACACATTTGAATTCTCTGCTTCGCTCCTCTCTTATTCCTTGTAAGTTGCATTTTGTCTTATATATACATTAATGGTTTTTAATGGTGGTGAAAATATGGGCCATTAGCCAAAATAATACTCATTGAAATATGAATTTGTTCAAAAGTGACTGGCAAAATATTTTTTAAAACTGCACATATCTTTTTTATATTTTACTGTATAAAATTTTTATACTTTTATAAAACCATGTAAAAATGGAGTTTCCCCCCATTATGAACATTTCTCCACCCACCCATGTTTATTATTCTTGTGGTTGCCTAGAAACTTCTATGTGCAACTGAAATTGCAGAGGAATTATAACAATGAGTTGACTACTACTTGAGAGTGAAAGTATACATTGCTTTATATTAAGATGAAACCTTATTCAACTTTAGTGCCTGACAGAAGTCTAGAAAGCAGGAATACTGGACTTAATTGTTTAACAGTAGACACGACAACTTGTTATATGTCCCCATGGATTGTTATAAATTGTTTCTTTCAACAAAAAGCTCTTACCCTGGGAGGGACATGGAGAATGATAGTCATGTGACCATCCCAAGATGTGGTTAGCTTCCCTCTTCCCAAATATGTTCATTTGGATTCCAGAGTTTTTTACTGCTCTCCCTGTGAGCAATGTTTCCTTTGGTCTTTTATTGGAAGTACTCTCAGGGACAAACCTATCACATGCATGTAGTGTTATATTTATTGTGATTTATTTAAAATATCTTCACCCCACCTCAGCTCAAAAAGGGTCCCAGAGCAGCTTACAAAGATAAAATACAAGAACATATCTGACATTGTGCTGAGAATCTAAGATACAACGCAAAAGAAGGCATTGAGAGGGAGGGAAAAAGAAACACTCAGCCACTAGACCTCAGTGAACAAAGTTCTTATAATGACCAGCTGGAAAGGAGCAGTTCAAGAAAAGGAGGAGGCAAAAGTTGCTCATCTCCCACTGAGGGTGTAGCAACACTTGCTTTCTTGCAGCTTGATGGTATGAAATGACTGCTGCCAGATGACAGTGGATGAGGGAGGAACATGATGCAGGTGGTTTAAAGAGATTACTAAATCCCTTTAGGGTGTGGGGAAATGTTACAGTATTGTTTTCTTAAGTGATCCAGATCCTTTGTCTTCAGTATACTGTATAGTGTACAAAGGTCTCTATTACAGATTTTTGCTTCTAGCTGTTCCAGGCTCTATTCCCAAACATACTTGGACTGCAACATCACATGTGTGACAGAGAGAGTGCATGGGCAATAAACATATGATAACGGTGCATTGCAAAGTGGACCCAGATTGGTCATGCTTGTGGAAAGTAAAACATTAATGCACACAGGGAAGAAGATTTAAGAGGTTTTCTGGTGCCTTGTATAGCAAGTTGAAGTGTGACATAACCATCAACTCTTTGATTCTATTATTCATGCCATTGCGTGTAACATTTATAGACCAATCAAAGATGGTCATCTTACAAGATGACTGTAATATTTGATTAGCTTTCCCTGGTGGAAGGCTTACTCTGCGAGGTGGCATCAGCAGAATCCAGGCAAGCACTCTCACTCTCAGTTTCTATGGCTGTTCCAGATTTGTGTTGCTGCAGAATTGACTCCGTATATGTGCCAACGAAGTACTCAAGAGTCTTGTCAAAGAAAGGACTCAGATTGTGGTCTTGTAAGCGTCCATCACCGATTTAGGTTAAAACTGAATGCTGAAGGCTTTTTGGGTTGCTGAGAAAATAATCATTTCTGAGGGGAACGAAAGGAAGCAAAAAGTGAAGAGAATGCCTAAGCTTTCTTACAACCCAACGTCACAGGGACATGCCTGGGGCAGGCAGTATTGCTGAATCGAGCTCTGTGTCCTTCAGTCATGTTAATCCTTTTGGCTGAGACATTACATAACCATTCCCTTCCATATTTCTGTCCTGTCTGGCCTTTCAGCAGCCTTGGCTTCACATTGTGCTAATATGAACATATCCCAGGCTGAATCTGGTGGTGGCGGCTTTCATGCTAAATAAATAGCTTGTAAGCCAAATTATGTTGTGTAGTCAAGAAGAAATTCACCTTTTCTTATGAGCATTTATTGGGGGAAGTCACTGAAAGCTAGGACTATAATTTTCTCAGTTATGTACTATGAAATTTGGAACGCTACAAAACCCAGAAGCTTTAAAAGAACAGAAAGCAAGGCAAACTTACCACAATAACAAAGGCGGTACTGGGGTGGGGGAATCCATTGGAATCCAGTAAGATCTTATTTTGACATGGGTAAATAAGGCAAATTTGTTTGTTTGCAGATGTGGGTATTGTAAGCAATATATAACGTGTGTTCTCAGCTTCAATTGGAGAAAGACTAGGTTTTGAGAGTCCTGTGGGCAGTTTGAAAGAGTGATCACATCTTATGGTGAATATAGTCATCCCACCTTTTCTACTAGTAAACAGGTTTTGCAGGTTTTTGTATCTTTTCATTTCTAAATATCTCTCCCACAAGTTGTAACCATGAGCGACTCATAATAGAACATAACCCTAGAACCACTTCTGAATAAGAAGATGAGTAGCTCTGCTGAATCAGATCTAAGGACCACCAAGTCCAGCATTCTGTTTCAAGATGTGGCCTTCCAGATGCCTTTGGGAAGCCCACAAGCAGGACATGAAGGCAAGAATTCGAGTAGGCGTCAAGAATCTGGTGTTGAGAATCTGGTGTTGAGGAATGCTAGGCTCCACCTGCCATGCAGGGGAATGATTGAGAAGGCCTTGCATATACACATAATAACTTTGCTTTAGAACTGAGGAAGCCACAAGCAGCCTGCAGGGATCTGGGATAAAGAGAAAGCTGTAGGGCAGACCTGAAACAGGTCTAATTCCCATTGCTTCAAATTCTGTCATATAATTCTTAGCTATATGCACATATATATGTGAAAGTAATCACTAGGAAGCAAGCAGCTACTATAGCAAACAGTTATTTTTCCTGAACTCATTCCAGCATTTGGACCCTGGCCTGTTCCAGCAAGTGGTCAGTTTTGCTTGCACATGCAAGACTGCTAGTTGCAGTGTCTAATGCTGATGCTGTTTTATATACAGATAGAAAATGAAACATGCATTCTAAAAAAAAGTTGCATTCTGCAAGCATATACAAATGTACCCAAGTTTGCCTTTCAGATATAAAAATGCCCTATTGTCACTGGGTGTCTCAGAGGAGCTGACACTGCATTTTAAAACATGTTGACATAGAGCTCAGTCCCACTGTTGTCAAATGGTCCCCCCCCCCCCCCGTAGAATTGGGAGCCACTTCCACTGAGGTTCCATTACAGGACATGTGTAAGTGGGGATTCCCCCATTCCACCCTTTTGGGTGCAGAAAAAAATGGAGAGATTTGGTGCAGAAAAAAAGAGGATTTGTAGATATGCAGAAAGCATGGGTGACATGAAGAGGGAGAGAAAGAGAGCATCCCACGACACCCCTGACCAATTGTTAAATCACCCAAGGGTGCTGAGGCACACAGGTTGAAAACCTCTGGTTTAGACAGATAAACAAGCATGTATCTACCGTAGTTATGATGAAGACTGTGTAATTTTTTTTATACTTTAAAAAGAGGGATCCTCCTACTCTGGAGCATGATTATTTCCTTTTAACAAATGAAAATACTCTCCTTAAAATATTTGTATCTGTGCATTACATGAGAAAAGAGACTGCCATTTCCAAGGTAATAGAAGGACATGATACAAATGTGAGGGATAAATAATTACTTGGGCACATCAGGAAATAAAAATTAGCTGCCTCATCACACACTAGTGCTTCTCATCCCATTTCAGCAAATAATAGCACCACACTGCAAGGATCAATATTACAAGCTATACAATGTAAACACCATCAAATCAAAGGAAAAGTACCCCTTCCTTTTTTTTAAGTCCATAAGCAACAGAGTGAAGGTGAAATTTGCAGTGATTTGCTTACTGAATACAGTAAGGTGAGGCTTGATCTGGCAAGCAATAGTTCCTACTCAGTTATTTCCTAAGAGAGAAGCATTCAAGGGCTTTCACCTCAACTTTTATCTTATCGTACATAATCAGTCTTATCTTTCAAGTCTACTTCTCATGTTACTTTTTCCGGTACAGAGACAATCTGATGTTGCAAAAAGTCTGTATCTTGTACTGTCTGATTTAATTTCACCACGATTCTGCAGAATTCAGCTTCCTGAGAATCTCAGCTTTCATTTGAAATAAAGCATGTTTCTTGCCCTTACCTTGATGATGATATGCTTGAAAGTGCATCTGCTTGGTCAGATGTCAGAAGTCCATTGAAATGCTAAATAACATCTCCAGTGATTGGGGGAGTGGGGAAAGTGTGCAGGGCTTTTGTGCCCTGCATATGTCCTTGCCCTCGATGCTTAAAAAGGCACATACTGAATTTACAGTAATATACAAATTGATTTACAGTTAATCCATTGATTGCTTAATCAGTTAAAATATAAATGACTAATCAACTAAACATTCATCCCCAGGCGACACCATATCTAGACTATACTGCTTTGTAACCACTCTTTTTGACACACAGGAAGTCAAAGAATAGATTTAGGACATTCTAGGAGAAGCAGTTAGCAGCAGACATGAACTAAAGAGCTGAATTGGAGTGCAGCTTTATCCTTTTAGATACTAATACCACTGTTTCACAGGAACTATTTTTAAAAAGTGCCAGTTCTACATAAGGACCACTCAGGTGTAGTAGACTGTACTCTTGCATACTTGTTTTGTCAAAAGTAATGATCTTAGCTCTAATGAAGGTTGACATTGGGGAAAGTGCTATATAAATATTAAACAGGGATCACATTTAGAGACAGAAGGGATTAGTATAATTGCTGTGCAATTTTTGAGTTCCTCTTCCCTGGACTAGCCCCACCATTAGGCAGAGTGAGGCAGATGCTTGGATGGGGAGTTGGACGGGGTGAGATACGGAGGGGCAGCAAAGGGGAGGAAAATAGAACTGCATGTGCCACATTGCCTGCCCTGACTTCCCAAGCTAACATGCAAAATTTCATAATTTAGCTACCAGTCCAATTGGCTTCTTTATGTAGAATGGGAGAGGAGTAGCATCTTATCCCTTTACCTCAGGCATCAAAGTGTCCTGGGCTGATTCCAGCTCTTCTCCAACCTCTGTTGCCCCTGCATCTTGAAAGATGGGTCAGAGAGAATGTTGTTTTGATCACTCTCAAATGATCTTGGTCTAGTCATTGAGCCACTATTAGCTCCTTGAAACCATAGGGTCTATAACATAAATGGAAGAAGACTCATTATGATTACGTCAGAACAGAGATGAAAACCCACTTACAGTCTTATTAAGTTGTGGCAAACAAATCATACTTTGCCACCACTGTCTGTTCAACATAGTCCTGCAGAGATCTTTCATGTAGTGAAGGGCCTCCTGGGTGCAGACCTGGCGAGAGATTTATTACTAAATTTCTATACCATCCTTCATCCGAGGATCACAGAGAGGTTTACAGTATAAACACAAAAATACATATTAAAAAACAAAACAATAATCCTCAAAGAATTAGTTAAGTAATTAGTAGATAAAGTCATTGCATCCATGCCTACTTTGATGCCATAGTTGTGACAGTGTGTGCCATATGGTCATGTCACAGCTTGTGAAACATGAAGATGTGTACCACCTACTTGGAGGGATAAGGTCTACTATTTGTCTTCCGGAGTCATGCCTATCTTAGCTGATGAAAACTGCCAGGGCAGGGCTGGGTGTATGAATCTTTGATGTCGTGAAAACCTTTTTTGAGGGGAGAATGATCCCTGCTATTTTTAAAGAGGCAGTAGTGAGACCCATGGTAAGAAGCTTAATTTAGACATTTGGTTTGAGAGATCTACCTCCCAGTTTTTGATGTTCCATTTTCGGTAAGCTGATGTGAGTGGGCAGTGTCAGGTGATACCAGTCTGGTTTCAGGCCTAGTTTTGGAGCAGAAGCAGCCATAATTGCCCAAGTGGATGACTTATGCTGGAAATGGATGGACCTGTTGTCTGGGCTGGGATGTAGTGTTGTGGTAGCTCTGGTTCTTCTTGGAGAATCAGTTACAGAAGGTGCTGCTGAGGAATTTGTTTTATAGGCCTTTGACTTATGGGGTGCCTCAGTTTTATTCTGTCCCCCATATGTTTTAACCTGTACATGAAACCACAGAAAGATATCTGCATGCATAAGTGAAGAGCACCCCACTGCATCTCCAGCTCATGAAGAGACCTTCGCCAGAGCCCAAAGGGGACATCCCCTTCAGGCTCCAGGGACAGTCTCCTTGTGAGCCGGAGGCACAGCAGGGCTTTGATAAGGCTCTTCAGGTCTCTCCCCCCACTTCGAGTTTTCTGGTACCATGCATATGCGTGGTCGCACATAACTTGAAGACACGTGAGATGCCTGTACACCAATATTGATCCAGTGTCGTAGGCTGCCAGTGCCCAGTTACCACACCCAATTTAAAGTGGTCATGAATTTTAAAGCCCCAAATAGTTTGGGGCAGGTTACTTACACATGTATCAACCTGCCTGTACCTTAAATTCTACTCTAGAGGAACTGTTGAGATACCCACTTGCAGAAATCACTAGGAATGTTGAACAGAGCCTTCTCTGCAGTGATTCCCCCAATTATGGAACTTGGTTCATCAATTGCTCATAAAGAGGACAAATGAACCAGCAGAGACAGCAAGGAGGATGTAGTGGTACTTGTGACATGGAATGGTACCTTCAATTGCATGACAGCTTCAGTTACAGAAACTCCATGTCTATTCCAGTTTTCTGGCATTTAAAGGTAAAGGACCATTAGGTCCAGTCTAAAGTATCTCTGGAACCTAGCCCTTAGAAGCTTGTGAATGTCCCCAGGAAGAGGGAGACCAAAGCTTTTCTTATAAACTACACATGGCTTCTACTTATCTGAGGGGAGGGGGATGCATTAAATACATTTCCCAACATGGTGCCCATGGGCACCACAGCATCCTCAGGTACATCCCTTGGCACCTGCCAGCACCCCTGCCTGGAGTTTGGCTTTGTTGTTGTTTTGTGGGGTGACATTGCCTGTAGTTTTGGGTGGACTATTGCCTCCGTTTTTCTATTTTATTTATTTTTGGAGTGTAAATAGCTGTTATGCTTGAGGGGCTGTTGCATGCAGGAGTGGTCTGAGTATCACTAGTTTATCTTGTGTGAATTGAGCACTTTGTGGTGCCCACAGCAGTTTCTTAGATTTCCAAATCTGCTCCCAGGCCCAAAAAGGTTGGGGAGCCCGATTTACATTAAAGCAGAGCTTTCCAAACTGTGTGTCATGATACGTTATTGTGTCGGCTGCAGTGTGTCACACAAACGCTCCCCACACTCCTCCTGGGGCTGGAAAGGGATTAGTTTAACCTCTGGTTTGCTAGTAAAACTCAATTACTGTGTCACAAAATGATGCATGTCTAAAAAGTGTGTCACCAACATGAAAAGTTTGGAAAGCTCTGCATTAAATCTAGATTTTTTTCTAAGCTTAAAATACACACTTTTTACAACTATACTCTTGAGAACTTTGCACTCATCTACAAGTTTTAGCAGGATGATTAATATATACTGACATTAAACTGCATGGCATTAATTTAGAAATTTGATGACACATGAACTCTCTTACACACAAAAATATAGTCTATAAGACATAGTGCTACAGTGTAAACTAAGAACTTGTTTACATTTTCCTGTATGACTTGTGTTGGGAAGGATGTTGTCACTGCCGTTCTATCCTAAGTGGGGTTACTTTAAAGTTGGAGTGCACAGAACTGAACCCTTAATTTTGTTGCACTCGGGTGAGAGAGGAGTAGATGAGCTCAAAGTGCTGGAGGGGGCAAGGGGCTCCATACATTTTAGATGAAAAATGGACTGGCAATAGAATCCCAGATCTCCCATACACTTTGCTATTATATGGCTCACTGATGCTTATAAAAGCAAAATGAGTCGGCTGCTATGGACGTACAACCAACTCAAGCAAGTCTATTTTAAGTTTATACATAAATTGTTTGAATGTACAAACATACCACAACAATGCTCTCAAACTACACTGTTTTGTAACAGTTTAACCTCAAATTTACATGAGAGTTGGATTGACCTTTGGAACCTGACTCCTTTCCCCCAAAATAGCTTTCCCCTTCCATACTAAGGTCTGAATTCTTGTCCTGTTAATAGCAATTATTACATTGACTTTGGTAATGGAGTGACTCTCAGAACTAGCAGATGTCTTGTAGAATTTAGACTGGCTGACAGCTGGAGACGATATGCAAGGATCCGTTTCCTTGTATTTGTGCTGAATTCTAATGAGAATTTACTCCAGCAAACCCCTAGAGGAGATTCTGTTTTGGTGCACTAATTGCTTGTGTGTGTAATTATACCAAATGTAGATGAAAAACTGAAGCCCTAATTTGTCCTGATGATAGTGAAGGAAGAACAGGAAAGCAACAAAGCAATTGAGGGGCTTCCAGACAAAAGAGTTACCGTAATTTTGGAATGAGTTCGTGAACATATGCTTTTCACAGAGTCCACACAACATTGTGGGCATCAAAACGTTAGCCTGTATTTATTGATTTACACACACTTAATCCAGATTTCCCCTTAATGTAAAAAATCTGATAAGTGAAAATAACCCAGCCACCCATCCAATCACCCCCGGTAGAAGATTGTTAGTGTATTTTTTTGAGTTGGCCTTTTGTCACACATGATGTTTCAATAAGCAGCCTCATAGCACCAAACCCCTAATGTCTATTTGCCCCTCACCTGAGCACAGAGATGGTCACTCATCACACCAATTTCCTCCAACTGCTGTACGCTGAAAGTACATCTATAACCTATAATTCTGCCACCTCTGTACAACTCTTAAATAAACCTTATGCAAGTCAGGTAAATTCCACTCTTCCACAAGATCTCAGTATTTAAAAAACAACAACAAACAAACAGGAATGGATATTGCCTCATGCAAAAAACCACAAGCTTCTATTTTTCCTATTGTGAAGCAGAATAACTAAGGCTATTGTTATTATTTATTAAATTTGTATACCACCCTCATCCAAAGATCTCAGGGTGGTTTACAACAGAAAAATACAAAACGGCTAGTAAGATTTATTCTTGTGTGCTTCCTGGGATTATTTTTAAAGGTGCACCCAGGTGCAGAAATGCCTCTATACATGCCCAGAATGGAAAGAGGGCTGGCAGACCTGTGATTGAGGAGCTGGCAGAAATATATCACCCAAACAGCCAAAACCCACCCACCGGTGAAGAGGGCTGAAGAAGCAGGAATGTGGTGGGGGCCAGGGGGCCAAACCCAGGGAGGGGGTCTTTACACGGAAGACCCTTGTCTGCAACTGCAAGCGCCCTCGTTGGCATCTCACCCGCGGGCTTGACAGCAGAAACCCTGCCAGGCGCTCCGGCGGCATCCCGCACCTGCCAAGGTGCCTTCAACCCCCCATCCCGGCCCCCTCCGGCTACGTCGAGCCCTTTTAGGGCCGTGCTTCGCCCCGCGGCCGAGGGAAGTTTGAGCAAGTTTGCTTGTTCAGACGGGGCCGCGATGGGCTCGTTTCCTCGTTAGATCCGCAGCTGCCGTTTCGCGGGAAGTGCCAGCCTTGCGTTCTCCGACGGCGGCGCTTCGCCGCGCTCTTCTTCCCGCTTCGCCCCCCGCTCCCTCCTTTTCCGAACTTGGAGCAGGCGCGGCGAAGGAGCGGGACTCTCTCGGGCTCCCTCTCCCTTTCCGCCTGCCTCCGAGGGGCCGCCCAGGAGGTGGAGCTTGGCTCCTCTCGCTCGCTCGCGGGCTCGCTGCTCTCCCCGTTCCCCCTCTGTTCCTCCGGTGGCAGCGGCAGCGTGGCCGCCTGAGGGGCTGCCTTGGGTTCCTGCGCGAGCGGGGCGAGAGGCTCGCGGGAAGCGGAGCAGCCTCGGAGGGCACCCCAGCAACAAGTGGCCGCGCCGCCGCCGCCGCCGCCGCCCTGCCCTCCCCTCGGAGCAGGTAGCCTCCTGGCCAGCATGTCCCCCGGCACCCGGCGAGCTGGCGGGCCCGCGGCGCCGTCGCCGAAGCTGCTGCTGCTGCTGGGTTAGGCATTGCCCGCGCTGTCGGAGCCGAGCGAGGGAGTGAGTCACCCGCGCGCAAAAGAGGGAGGAGGGAGGCCGGCGGAAGCGGCGTTGGCGGCGGCGTCGCCACCCGCCCTTTCCCGGACTTCTGCTCTCCCTTCCCTGCTGCCGTCGGGGAGAGCCGAGGGAAGCCGCGCGCCCCGCCGCCAGGCCTCCAGCACCGGCCTCGTTCCCGGCGAGAAGAGCGGAGGGAGCCGCACCTGGGGGCGGGGAGGCGCGCCGGGCCGCCGCGGCGGAAGCGGCGCGCAATGGGAGCAGCCGCGGCGGGTTCTGGCGCCGCCGACGAGGCCATCGCCCCCTGAAAAGCGATGGTGGCGGATCCCCCGACGACGGCACGAGTAGGAGCAGCAGCGGCGGCCCGGGCCATTGTCTGCCAAGGTAATGCGAGCCTCCATCGCCAAGGTGTGTGTTGGCGTGGAGCGAGGGGCGGGCGGGAAAGGCGGGACTGGACCCGCGGCCACAGCCCTCCTCGCCGGGAAACCTGCGGGCTGCTCCGGCGTGGCGGGGAGAAGGGGAGGCTGCGCTTTCGGCCGGGCGTCGGAAGGGTCACGCGCAAGGAGTTGGCGCCCTCTCCCTCCTGGCTCCCCTTCCCAGCCCTCAGCCGCCAGCCTGCTTCGGGGGTTTTGCTCCCCGGGCTTGGACGTGGAAAATTCTAGCTCAGCCTGTGGCTTCAAGAATGGGCGTTGAGGTCTGCGAGACAAACGGGGGAAATAATTTCCTCCTCGGGCGCCCTAGGTGGCCGCGTGCGAGAGAGACTCCGATTTGTGGCGTTGAGATTGGAGCCTGTCTTCTTCTGGCGTGGCTCTTCTCCTCTCTTCTCTTCTCTTCTCTTCTCTTCTCTTTCTCCCCCCGCCCCCCCCCCAGCAGTCCGCTGCCTGTCCGACCTGCACAGTCCATTCATCAGCCTTGCCTATACTGTATTCAGGAATGGTAGAGTTCATGTGGGCGCAAGTGAAAATGTAGAGGGGTTTTGTCTACAAAGACATTTAGGTTGCAATCCCAGACACATTGACTTACATTTGACTGGGGGCGGGGGCGACGACTTCTAAGTGCATATGTATATGGTTGCCCCGTTGGGAGGGGGCGGGTGGTTGACTAAGGGTGATGGTGAAATCTGGATAATAAAAAGAAGTTGGGCCAGATTTCTGTTGCTGTTATTCAGGTATCAACATGACACAGAGCAGTTTCTGTTTCTGCTTGAGTGAAAAAGTAAGTTGGCCTTGAGATTTGTTTAGTCTTAACTAAACAGGGCTCCCCCTAGTTACAAATTTGAAAGGAGGAATATAGCAGGCGCTTGCCCTGGCTGCTCTTACCTTGTGATCTTCTGGCATTGGTCATGAATTACAGTATATTGAAGAAAATTGCAACACAGAGCCCTTGTTGTGAAGTGGGGCAGTTCTGCTGACAGTTGCCCCTTAGAAGCTGCAGCCCTCTGCTGTAAAGTGGAAAAATAATTCATTCTAAATTGGAAGTGGCAAGCATAATCCATGGCAATTTGCTCCAAACATAGAAGCATCCTCTGGAATTCAATAGGAGTTCTTTTGTTAGCATCTGTGCAAGTTTTCTTCTTTCACATTTAGTGGAGTTAATCTTATTGTAGGGTTTGACACAATGATCTCACTCCATGAGGGTGATTTCACGCATAAAGAATTTACCACACTGATACAGGTGCAGAGATCAAACATGAATAAGCCTTAAAATAACCTACTTTAAATTTAGTTGGTCTTTAACACAAGAATGTATAGCAGAAATTGTTTTAAAAGCCTTTAGCATGACCTTCAGATAACAGCCCACCATGGTGTAGTTTAATGATTAACTTTAGGATTCAGCTAGGTAATATGGAATCTGTTTTGACAAGAATTGGTTACCTTTCATCAGATAAGGGGAATCCTTGATCCTTTTGTGCTCTTGAATCTTTCCATTCTTGCCAAAGATCACAAAAATTACGTGTTGCAATGAGTTTTTGTTATGTTACGAAGCACTTTATTAAAAGTGGTAAATACCACTGTTTCATAGATAGGGATATAATCATGGATATTTATGTTTCCTTACCTCTACCTCTAACTAGTCACCTGCATGACAGCAGTAATGTTAGCTTTCATAAAATGCCCCATGCTGTAGGTTTTTCCCATTAAGTGTCATTTAATTTTCATAGAGTAGAATATATCTGGTATGGCTTAGGTGAAAGGTAGCAAAAGGGTGTCTTTTGAAACTTCTCATAATCCAAGGAAGTGAATGGACTATTTCCATAATTCCCTGGTGTGTCACCATGTTATCAGGGTGTTAATAGGCCTTCCCCTTTATGTCACATGCTGGGTCAGTTGTACAACAACCTGGAGAAAAGTTGCCATGCTACAGGTAGGGAGGGATCAACTGGCTGCTTAAGAGTCTGGTTGCAAAGAGTAGCATGCAGCCATGGTAGAGAAATAAACTTTTAACATACCGTATAAAACAAGAAAAAAAATATTCTGAATCTCAGAAGCCAGAACAGCAAGCGGGATTGCTGCGCAGTGAAAGCAGCAATCCCTCTTGCTGTTCTGGCTTCTGGGATAGCTGCGCAGCCTGCATTTGCTCCATAAGACGCACACACATTTCCCCTTACTTTTTAGGAGGGAAAAAGCAAGTCTTATAGAGCAAAAAATACGGTAAGCAAAGGGGAAGGCAAAGGCACTGGAATTTTGTGGCGACTTGGGAGATGTTTGTGATATACATGAAAGAACTTCAGCCTGCTATAAACATGTCATCTGCATTCCCCAGGTTCTGGGACAGAACTTAATACACTTACTTATGAGAGACAAACACACATCCTCACCTGTTTTGTTTTGTACATTATAATCAAAACATATATATTTTTTAAAGATTGGGGAAAAGCTGACTGCTTAAGAGTCTGACGTAACCTCCCTCAACCTGATACCAGCCAGATGTTTTGTGTACTTTAAACACCCATCACCCCCCAACCAGGATGCTTAATTCTTAGGATTGATGGAAGTTGTAATCTAAAACCAATGTTGGGCACCAGATTGGGGAAACCTGGAATGGTGGAGGAGAAGGGACTGTTGGCAAGGGAGTGGCACTGGAGAGTATGGAAGGCAGTAGCAGAACACCAGCACGCTGATTGGAGCTGAGGCAGACTGAAGAGAATTATGGTGAATCTGATTCCAGGCTATAGGAAGTACTGAAGCTCGATAATTGCGACCATTCTGTTTACAGACACTGGTAAATGAAGGCAACTGCTCAGTTTCAAGTGTCTTCCAAATATGCTGCTTGGTAGTGTTTGCATATGTGTTTTCATAAAAGAAGCCTTAGGGCTCTTTGTGCATGATGCAGATTAAAGGTAGATTACAGAAACTGAAAAAAGAGTTTATGCTTGGAAGTAAATCCTGTTGAGTAAATCCTTTGTAATAACTCAGTGAAAGTTATTACTGAATAAAGGTTTAAGTGTACGTCAAATGTTGTGGACAAAGGACAAAACAAACATAGAGAAGTGTGTTTGTCAATGCATAGCTCTTACATGCTACTCCACTTTTCAGACTTTGAAATCTATATGCTATTTTGTAGTTAATCAGGATTGTAAAAATCATGAGTCTGCTAGTCTGACACACACACTTTAAGGAACAAGTTATAATAAAAGGTGAGAATCTCTTAGAAGACCATGTTCTTAAAAAGTCAGGATGTTCTGTGTGGGTGGATCAAGGGGCTTTAAAATCATGCTTTGAATTGCCAGGGGAAAGGGCTGATTATAAAATGTCCTGAATGTTTAACCCTGTCTTGGTTGCCGTAGCAATTAAAACTTACAGAATCATCAAACTGTAGAGTTGGAAGGGAGCATGAGGGTAATGTAGTCCAACCCCTGCAATGCAGGAATCTTTTTGCCTAATGTGGGACTCAAACCCATAACTTTGCGATTAAAAATCTCATTCTCTTCTAACATTATCAAAGAACCTCTGGTCATACTTCTGGGAGTGTAGCCCACACATGTGAGCTGCAATGATTTGTAATTGCTTGGCGCAGCAATTGTGAAATTGAGGATTTCTGCAAGTATACCAAGCAGCATAACACATGAAGACTTAAGTTTGGGCACTGTCCAGAAGCAAGGACAGCTAGATAGTTGACAGAAATGTTTCTCCTTGTTACAAAAGTAAAACGTTCTTGCCACCTGATTGACAGTAAAGATAGTCCTAGCTTGCCGTGCACAATAATAAATACCTAACAATACACCACACATTTTAGGGTGGGCATACTTTAGGCTGATGGGGGTCTATTTCGTTTTTTCATTCCAGAGCCCCAGATCCACTAGCTGGAGTTGCTCAAAAACAGCATCTTAAACATAAGGGTTAGCTGCGGCAATTCATAAAATAGCAGGTCAGATTTTAGCTGAATGCAGTAGGCCTTATAGTCCTTGGTGGGCCAAAGATTGTACCTGGAATATTCAACAGCGTACGCTGCATGTTTACCCAGAAGTAGCCCTGTCAAGTTTCTAGACTTGATTCATTGTGTAAGTGCTTAGCCTTTTAAAGCCTTATATAAATTGGGACCCAGGTACTAAAGTATTGCCTTCAGCGAATGAATTGGTCCATATGCTAAGTAGACCTTTGGAGAACCTTTTCTCTTTATCTCTGCTTTTTTTGGTGTTGGCTTCCTGCCTCTGGAATGTCTTCCTTAGGGAAGCTTCTGGCAAAGGCTCTTACACATTAGTGTTGTTATGCAAATGCCTGCTTATTTCCCCAGACCACCTTGGCTGAATTTTGTTTTATTATGCTGTTGCAATTTTATGCTTTTGCTATTTTATTGCCCTTTGATTTTATTGTTTCTAACGGTTTTATTTATTTATTTAATTTCTATACTGCCCTATACCTGAAGGTCTCAGGGCAGTTCACATAAAACATCAAATACATAAAATCAAAACAAAAATAACAACCCAATAACTCCCCCCCCCAAAAAAAAAGAGCCAGCATTTTAAAAAGGGTATAGGATGTTAAGACAGGGAGCCACTGCAGAGAAGGCCCATTCTCATGTTGCCACCCTCCTGACCTCTCAAGAAGAAGGGCCTCAGAAGATGATCTCAGGGTCCGGGTAGGTTAACATGGGAAGAGACGGTCCTTGAGGTATTTAGGTTAGCCATCCTGGCAGCAACAATGTCACTTCAGCAATACTGAGGGAGGGGGTAAAAATATTCCTAAATAAATAAGCACCACTTATTCTGCTGGGCACCAACACAATGTAAATTCTGGATCTGAGAGAGGGGGGAAGTACCAGTGCATGCTACTAATTCAACTACTATGAGAGAGAGAGAGCATACTTTCAATGAGTACTTACATAATAATATGAGATCACTGAGCAGAGAAAACGGAGTCGAGAATAGGGCTGTGTAATTCTAACCTTGCTGGCTTAACCAAACATTGCAGTTGCTAGCCCTCTCCCCACCAGTTATAACCCCTTCTCTGATCCAGAAAGAAGAGAGGATCATGCGCTGTTGGGCAGTATTTCCTGAAGGCACACAGTGGGCTTTAGGCCCTGGTATCAAACATTTTGCCTGCATGCCTCTTTCGCCTGAGGACCACATTGTCTTCTGGGCAACTTTCCAGGGACCTCATGTAAATTGTGGCCAGGGCTAGAGACCAGGGTGGGAAACGTAATAAATGTAATCTTGTGAGTTTATACAGTAGGCTACCTTCTACCCACCCATCCACACCATTCCCTCTTCCATCCAGGCAGGCTAGGGCTGCCATATTTCAAAAGGTGAAAATCCGGACAAAATCCGCCCCCCCCCCCCGAAGTTGTTGAGCTATTTTTAAGGGAAATCGGCAAAAACAACACTGCTGACATGGATTGCCATACGTCCAGATTTTCCTGGACATTTCAGCGATTTCTGCCCAGACTGCTGAATCCTGGCTATGTCCAGGAAATTCTGGGTGTATGGCAACCCTAAGGTAAGCAAGAGTTATTGTTAGAGTGGAGGAACACAAGGTCATTGAGGGATGTGGCCTGGGGAGAGTTCCAAGAGCTAGTCAGAGATCTTGAGGGCCACATTTGACCCTCAGGCCTTTGGTTCTCCCATCCACAATATGTAGCCTTTCTCCAAACCTTGGAACTGGAGAGGGGGGGGGTCACCATACAGTTGTTTGGAGATCTCCCATGTACCTCAGCACCTTCAGAGCTTGGAGGATAGCTGGCAATTTGTCATACTAGAGAGTAGCAGCATGCCTGCCTTGATGAATGTGCCCTGAGCAAAAACTTGAAGGCACTTCAGCTGAGACTGATACATGCTACTTGTTCTTAGCCATTGCTCAACCAGCCATTATCACACTTATGACACTATAGCTGCTGGTCCAAGGCTGCTGGCAAAGCAACCCTTCCGTTCCAAGCACTACTACTGGAGTGTCTTTCAGGAATGCAGACTACTCTGCATTCTGCTACCACTTGACCAGAAAAGGAGTGAAGCAGCTGACTGAATTACCCTCCAAACACTGGCTCCCTCGGCCAGTAAAGCGAGATGAGCGCCACAACCCCAGAGTCGTTCGCGACTCGACTTAATGGTCAGGGGTCCCTTTACCTTTATCATTTCAAATTGTACATGTGCCCACAAGCAATTTTCCATGCTTTCTCCCCACCTTCCCTGTATGTACCCATGATGTCTGCTGTTATAGAAGAAGGGCTAGCACAATCTGAGCATCACATTTAAAAAGGGAGCACAAGTGACAGTTTCTGCCATGACCAAGACAGTAGTCAACATGTCTCCACCTCAGAGCTCTTGACCTATTTACAATGGCTTTACCTCCAGAAGTCAAATACAGTGGTAACTCGGGTTAAGTACTTAATTCGTTCCGGAGGTCCGTCCTTAACCTGAAACTGTTCTTAACCTGAAGCACCACTTTAGCTAATGGGGCCTCCCGCTGCTGCCTCTGTGCCATTTCTGTTCTCACCCTGAAGCAAAGTTCTTAACCCGAGGTACTATTTCTGGGTTAGCGGAATCTGTAACCTGAAGCGTCTGTAACCTGAAGTGTCTGTAACCTGAGGTACCGCTGTATTTTTTGTCCCTGAGTTTGTTTTTAAATAGAAAGAGTTTGGGTAGTATTCAACTAAATTTTACTTTGAGTAGAGCCATTGAAATGAATGAACATTACTGTTAGATGCATTGATTTCACTGGGTCTACTCTGAGTAAAACCTAGTTGAAAGCACTCTTAAACTCTAGTAAAAAGTGTTGGATGGAATTTAATGGGTTCAGTTCAAATAGATTTTGTGTTTAGACCTTTAGTAATGCAGTCACATAATTTCAAACCATGATATTTTAAAATGAAATGTGTTGTTTTATGTTTATATTCTTTAAAGAATATGATTTAAATAAAAGCTTTTGCTCCCATGTAGCAAGTGTGTAATGATTGCAGTCCTAATATTTTCATCTTAGCTCTGAAATGTGGTTACTTTCAGATAAGAAAAACTTAACATACTGGCTCTTTACACATTTGTAGAATCATAGCTACTAAATTATCCTCAAGAGTTTTGTCATGTGCATCTTTAACCAGTGACTCATCTGACACCTCACAGTAAGCCAAGGGTTGCTAGTGTGGCACCCATGGGCAAACATGTGCTAACAGAGGCTTTCCCCACTTTACCTGGAGTTTCCTTTTTGGATGTCAAGTGGAGAGACAGCTGAGGGTGGGAATAAGAGGACAGGAGGAGGACAAAGTGTGTTAAAACAAGCCGTAGTTCCTTTGGTCACCTGAAGGCCATTGAATCTGGCCATTGTGCACAGTGGACAGAAAAACATGGATAGTAAACAAATGCTAACCTTGTAGAGCAGGGGTAGGCGATGCGGCCCAATCGCCTTCTCAATCCGGCCCATGGACGGTCTGGGAATCAGTGTGTTTTTACATGAGTAGAATGTGTCCTTTTATTTAAAATGCATCTCTGGGGTATTTGTGGGGCATAGGAATTTGTACTTCTTCTTTTTTTCCCCAAAATATAGTCCCCAAAATATAGTCCGGCCCACCACATGGTCTGAGGGACGGTGGACCGGCCCACGGCTGAAAAAGGTTGCTGACCCCTATTGTAGAGTAACAACTTTCACTCTGGAAATTAGTGCTAGCATTGGTGGCAACAGCTAGATAAGTCACACATCTTTAGAACATTTAGATGCAGCACAGAAGATGAATAATGAAATGTTGCATTACTGTATATTCAGCTAAGAAAAAATAGAGCAGAAACCCCTTGAGAGGCAATTGGTATTTAATCAAATAGAAGTCCTAACCAGGATATTTTTTTTTAAGCAGAGGGAAACTTGATGAAATAATTTCATCATCAGTAGCTTAGTATAGAGCCTAATTAGACATGAGTAGAATGAATAGAATGTTATGGGATGCAGGTGGCCCTGTGGGTTAAACCACAGAGCCTAGGGCTTGCCAATCAGAAGGTCGGCAGTTCAAATCCCCATGATGGGGTGAGCTCCCGTTGCTCGGTCCCTGCTCCTGCCAACCTCGCAGTTCGAAAGCATGTCAAAGTGCAAGTAGATAAATAGGTACCGCTCCTGCGGGAAGATAAATGGTGTTTCCGTGCAGCTTAGTCATGCTGGCCACATGACCTGGAAGCTGTACGCTGGCTCCCTGGCCAATAAAGCGAGATGAGCGCCACAGCCCCAGAGTCGTCCCCGACTGGACCTAATGGTCAGGGGTCCCTTTACCTTTACCTTTAGAATGTTACTTGGCATGGTGAAATATTTCTGAGGTCTAAACTTACTCATGGAAAACATCAAGGCTTCATTTCAGGCCCCTGCAGTATAATGTGGGTGATCCACTAGCAGAATGCAGCACCTCTTCAACAGTTGTTGTATAAACTGGGACTAAGCTCACCTGCATTGTCCATGATCCCATTCCAGGAGTGCTGAGCAATAACTGCTATTTCTTTCCATTTTTTGTTGGCCATCTATGGAAGGGGAGGACGTAAGCCAAGTAGCCCAGTTCAGAAATCATAAGAGTACATGTTATAGAGCAGGGGTGTCCAATAGGTCGATTGCGATCTACCTGTCGATCACGGATGTACCTGGTCGATCCTGGTCAGTCAAGGGACACTGATGCCCCCCCCCCAAACAAACAAACAAACGCAACAACTTTAGCTGATCCTCCTCCCCCCCCAAAAAAGCTCAACAACTCCAGTCAATCCAATGGGTAGATTACTGCCAGTTTGTTTATAGTGGGAGTAGATCACAATCTCTTGGAAGTTGGACACCCCCAGTATAGAAATATGAACGGAGGACAAGCATGAGGGCTCCTGGCTAGTCTTTTTCTTTTTCTTTTCGTTTCATAGTTGAAGAGTTTGGGTTCGTCACTGTGGAAAGCTTGTAATCTTAGTCACCGTGGCACTTGGAAAGTGTTGCATGATTCATTACTCAATCCTTTCTTTTTGACACATCATTGACTATTCAGATGTTACTAAGAATCTGAACACATGATGGATGCATAACATAGTGCAACACAGGGTTGGCCCTTCTGAGCTGCCCTCTCATTGAATTGCTGATATTCTTCCACAAACATAGTCAAAGCAATTGTAACTGGCTCATGGTGTTTACCTATTCACAACATCACTGCTTATCTGGTTAGATGGTGATGCATTGCAAACAGTAATATTTGGGTTAAAGGTCTGTTCTTTGCTGGTGGAAAAAAACGAAAAGTTTCAGAAGAGGCAGCCAAGCAACTAGTGATCCATTTAACCCCTCTTGTCTTTTCTTCCAGCTTCTGTTAATTAGTAGCTGAACTCCAGCTTTTTATCATTCTTTTTCATAGGAGTTTAGCTGCTAGGAGCTCTGCAAGCTGTTGAAAAGCAGTCGGAGATTAATTCAAATTCTGCTCTCTTTAATTTTGACTGTTGTTACTGAAATAAAAGTTCTCTTTTTACCATATAGTTCATTATCTCAACTATCAAAAGCTAGTTGTAAATTCTGTCATATCATCCTTGTTATTTCTTTTAAAACAATATTTCTGAGTTCTATTTCAGTCCCTTGATTCCCATTACATGAATTTTGTGGTGCTACTTACAGCATATCAGGAGTTCATAGTTCAAAGTACCGTATATAGAACCCATTTCAAGGAACTGTAATGCAGGTTTACCACAATCCCTGTTGGAAAAGAAATTGACTAAGAACTTGACCCAGGCATGGGCTTATGAGAACTAAATTAACCAGAAGCTGAAATGCTTTACCGTTTCTACCTTTACTGACTACAATCTTAAATATTATCAAAAAGTACCTCGTGGGATCCAGATCCTAAGTAAACCTGTTCAAAATCAAGGTGAATGACAGGCAGAGCAATCCTAAGAATTCTTTCTCAGAAATAAGTCTTTTTGTGTAAATAGGACTTACTCCTTAGAAAGTATGCATAGGCTTGTAGAATTGGATACTTGAAAACTAGACATTAACGTACATAAGTGCAAACTGAATTTTGTGCCTTGTGAGCAGAACCTGTGTTCCTGGAAGGGAGAAAATGTGATTAAGTAATCAGAGTTTCTATAGTCGTATCACAGGAACAAAATTAACCTACTTGGGCATCTGGAAATTCCCATGCTCTAACCAGTTTGATCTAGCTATTCAAATACCATTGCTTCAACAGCTTTTTTCATCAGCATTACAGAACAAGCATTTAATATTATCCCTTAGACATTGTGGCTGGGGTGGGAAGGATTCCGGCTGAAAAAATTAATACTTGCATGATTGACTTTTTGTAGTTTAACCCTGTTTCTTCTTTTCATGTGGAGGGGCTAAGGCAATGATCTGAGTTTACACAACAAAGCCATTTATTGCAGTCTGCACAATGTAACATAGTCGACACTAGAAAGATCTTTTTGGTGTAACAGTAGATAACCGATATAAGACAGTCTAGAAGGTAGCGCTTCTTGAGAGACTAACAAATATGCTGTGGTTGACATGTGGACAGATCAAGAAGGGTGGCTTCACGCCAGTGGTTTGATTTTATTACATATGCTATGTTGTAAAGAAAATCTTCCCCTTATGGGGTATCCAAGAGCCCGTATAGAGTCCTTACGTGGGTTCCCTCTTGGTAGGAGAAAATAACAGAAAACAGACATTTTTAATTCCCTGCCCTGGAGCTCAAGACCACCCCTCCATACATCATACATACATCACAGAAGGTGTAACCCAAGACCCCCCCCCCAAACATCATACCTACATCACAGAAAAGGTGGTCTACAACAGACATTTGAATGTTGTTGCTTTTCCTGTCAGTCAGGTTATCTGATAATGCCTTATCTGATTGCCTTTCCTGGTAGTCTGCCCATTCCTTTGAAATGGTGATTACCCAATTTCTGTAACAAGGAAGGTTTTTCACTTCCTTCCTCCTTGCAGAGAAACATTTGGTCAGCTTGGGAGTCAAAATGGTTTCAGGTCGGTCTTCCTGTGCTGATCTGTGCTTGGTTGGTACATTTATGAACATATATATTATATAAGACCTGAAATTTTATTATTACAGCTAGTATGTATGAACAATCCCGCCCCCAGCCTTTGGCTCAATTTGGTTTATTTAAACAATATTTTCACTTCCATTCTCACGTTCAGTTATATATCAGTACCCAATTTTGCCTTATTTGTAACCTAAAAAGAAAATGATTATTATCCTTATTCAGTTTTAACACAACACAAGGATATTTGACTGGACAGTTGGCTACGTGATATTGAATGTTAACTGTTACTTTTATCTTGTTTAAATTAGTTTATAAACCAGGAACCTATATATTGGCCACTAACCACAAACCAAATATCTGAGATATGCTATTTTTGTTATCCATAAATGATGATACAAGATGGTTTTGGTCTGTTTATTTGGTTTATTTATTTATAATTGTGGTCCTTTATATAAAACCCAATAAAGAGTTATTTATAAAAAAAAAACAAAAACAAAAAACAATACAGCCGGTGGCCAGTGAAATAAGAAAAGTTAGAAGTACTGTATCTCTTTCTTACACCGTAATCCTTCCCAGGATTAAAACTGCATAAAACAAGTGAAGCAGTTTCAGGATTGAGCTGCTAACTTGAATTTATTGTTGTCTGACACAGCAATAATAATACTGAAGCATTAAGTTGGCCTTCCCCAATTTGTGGCCTTTCAAATGAGACACAGCTCTCATCAGCCCTGGTCCTCATTACCAATGGTCAGAGATTATGGAAGTTGCTGAAGAAGGCTGCCAACCTCTTGACTTTATAAAGTGTACATTAATCTAAAATATGCTATCTGTGATTTGAAGCTAATTGTTTAAAATTCACGAACATCAACCCCAAATCTTTATTTGCTTGTCGCCCCCCTCCCCCATCCTTTTACTTATACAGAACTTTGCATATAATTAAATTGATGATAACTTTACTGTTCAAGTGCCAGGTTAACAGAGGCTAGCCATAAGTCCCCTTTTATAATAGAAGCAAAACTTTTCTTCAGTAATATGAAAGCTGCTGTATTTACTTATTTATTTTTCAGATTCCTTGCCCTTTGCCATGAAGTCCCAGGACAGGTTGCAACAATATACAATTACAAAAACAAGTAAAGCAATTATAATTTCAGAATAAGTAAAACACATAATATAGGTAGCAACGGGGGTTCCATTCCTGCCCCCCCCACATTAGTGGAGCATGCATAAGCGTGCACTGTTCCATCCCTTGTTCTGCCCTCTTCTGGGTCTAAAAGGACCCAAGTGTTGGTGGTTGTGTGTCAATCAGACGTGCGCAAAATGGTCGCTGCCTGTACAGTTATAATAACCTGAACGGTACATATTCAACAAAAGGCATCCACACACTGAACACCTTTTCTGCAGTGGCTCCCTGCTTGTGGAATGCACTCCCCAAGCACCTTCATTACATATCTTACATATCTTTAGGTGCCAGGCAAAAACATACTACTTCTTTCAGGCCTTTGGCTAATTAGCCAATCTATGGTCTTTTAAACTGTTAGAGGGGGTATTGTTTTTGTTTGTTGCTATGTTATGTATTTTTGCCTTTTTTAGATTGTAAACCTCTCTATGATCCTTGGATGAAGGGCAAAATAGAAATTTAATAATTCATTATTATTATCATCATCATCATCTTACCTAGTTTCTCCTTCCCACCTAGACTGTCTTAGGAAGTGGAGGCAGCTGAAAGTTAGGTGGAGAAAGCAGACCATGTGTTGAAAGTTGAGGATCTGAAGGTGAATATCTAGAAGCCTTGAAAGCAAGTGACGCCTTAGGAATCACATACATTTTTGTGCTTGAATCCCAGAAACAATGCACTGTGCATTGTAATTAAAAACGATTTCGTAGATTAACTAAGACTGCAACCCCAACCCCATTTACCTGCCCTATCGAGTTCAATACGATGTATTTTTTAGTAGTCATGTTTAGGATTGTACTGTTTAGTTTCTAGAGATGGGCAGCCTGATCGGATGCATGTTTACTCAAGATGTAAGCTCCACCAAGTTCAGTATGACTTGCTTCCACATAAGTGCACAGTCTCACATCATTATGCAGAAGTTCCATTTAATGCTGTGGGCTTCATGACACACTTTGTATTTACAAAATTTAGCTCAAAAAACAAAATAAACTACACATATGTAAATTAATGTGTAAAATTGTTTAGATTTGTTCTTTTTCATGGCGGTTTATCAGATGACATTTGCAAAAGCCTCTGAATTACACAATCTCTGTAGCTCCAAATATGGGCAGCAGCTACTAATATTGACCTACCTGAATACATAATATTGGCCTACCTATATAGCTTGCTGTTACTTGAAAACAGTTTTCACGAGTGTGTTGGATATCTAAAATCTTACACTTCCTACCCAATTGTGTTGGTGCTGGTACATGAAACTCATGCTGTGTTGCAGACGGTGTCCCTTCTTTCTGAAGTCTGGAGAGGACTTTTAAATATCACTTCAGTGTATCCAGCTCCTAATATGTGCTAACAATGGACTCTGATGTCATGGCATACAGGAGAAAGTGCCAGTGCAGTTTTATGTAGCAGCTTCTCCCCTGTATGCCTTACAGTTTTTCTGTTAGGAAGAGTCAATACCAAATCCTCTCCTTTCCATCTGAAATTGTAATAAATTCAGGTTTGCTAGCCTGATATCATAGCTCATTAATGCCATCCTGTCTGTATTTTATATAGTAGTTTGATAGTCATTGAGCTAGAATGAAGTTTTTTATTTGCTTAATTTGAGTATCTTCCATATTGCCTTCAACCATCTGGAAGTACTTGGTAAGTTTCCTTTTGCTATATACAATATTATTAACTGCTTATCTGATTGGCTGTTGATTCATAGTCAAAAGGCCAACTGTGTGCCATCTGAAGTAGTGAGGTTGTGTTCGCACGTAATACTTAAGCCATGGATTAAAATGCAGCACATAAAAAAACTAATTCAATCAGTAATAATGCTGTGAGAAAATTTCTTCCAATGAAGTGGATGGGGAAGACTAACAGATCATATGACCCACCATCTTCTAGCTACAGGGCCAGCCAACCACCACCATTGCTATTAACAAACCAGCTGGCTGTCCGCTAACATAATCACCATATTTTTCGCTCTATAAGAAGCACTTTTCCCCTCCTAAAAAGTAAGGGGAAATGTGTGTTCATCTTATGGAGCGAATGCAAGCTGCGCAGCTTTTGCTGAAGCCAGGAGAGCAAGAGGGATTGGTCCCTCTTGCTCTCTTGGCTTCAGGGATAGCCGCCCAAAGCCTCCTGAGCGCAGCGGGAGCCTCCCACTGTGCTCAGGAGGCTTCACATTGCTTTCACTCCCACTGCGCTCAGGCCCCTTCAGCAAAGTGGGAGGAGAAACGGAGCCCCTTCCTTTTCTCCTCCCGCTTTGCTGGAGAGGCGCTGAGCAGAGAGGGAGAGAATATTTTTTTCCCTTGTTCTCCTCCTCTAAAACTAGGTGCATCTTATGGTCGGGCGCATCTTATAGAGCGAAAAATATGGTGGCTGGTCTGCCCATCTGCTGCTGCCACTTCCCCCTACTCACTCACCTGCTCCCACCAGCTGCAGTGGCATTAGAAGGCCTGGCTTCACTTTGACAAAGAGTTCCCTAGAGTGAGGCCTTGTGGAAGCAGTCACCCAGAGAGTGCTTGCACAGTTTTTGCTTCAGAATACACGTCAACATTTTCTTAAAACTTTAGTGTTTTGAAGACGTTTATAATTGTATAGTTAAGCTGTGATTGAAGTGCTGCAAAGTGAGGGCCACACTGGCACTCTCTGGACGCCCTCTTCCGCAATGCCTTGCTCTCCCTTTCCTCAGAGAAGCCAGGAGCATTCTCGGGTTTGGTGAGCAAAGAAAGGAATATGCAAGGCAGCACAGCAATATTAGGAGGCTGGGCCCAGTCTTAGGTGTGCAATGTCTCGCCCCCACTCTGGTTTCTGCTAATGTTAGCAGAAATCTGCTTCTCTGCATTTTCTACCCATCTGTTCTAATCCCACCCTCTGGAGCAACAGGGAATACTCATACATGAGAACCCTTCAGATATTTGAAGACCACAGTCATGTACTCCATTAATCTTTTTGAGACTAAACGTACATAACTCATATCACTTAGTTACCAGACCCCTCACCATGCTGATCTTCCTTCTTTGGAAGCACTGTAGTTAGTAAGTGTCATTCTTTTAATGTGGTGCCCCCGACTGGGCACAATACTCCAGATGCAACTAAGTCACATAGGACAGGATTCAGCTAACGAGTCCTGTCAATGGAAGCCCTGCGCAAGGGCTTCCAGTTGTTCAACGGGGCTTCTCCTCTCCTCCCCAGCACCCCCAGAATTGGCTTGGGGGGATCAGGAGAACCACATTGGGCTAAAATCATGGTTTAACTTTGCATGAAAACACAACCCTTAAGTGTAGCCAAAGCCTGCAATCTGCTTTATCTCAACAAGTGAGTAAAATTCGCTTAGATAGCCAAGATTCCTTCTCCTTAGTGTACAACAAAAGCAGCCATAAGATTGATGCCTACCTTATTTTTTTTGCACATGTCTCCTATGAAGATGTAAATGGATTAATTTACATTTAAATAGCTCAGTCCTGGCAATTACTTTGATCATAATTATTTTGTTTTTAGAAGTGGTTTGTCCTGGAGTTCAGTTATTTATTTTTACTATTTATTACAGCATTTTTATACTATCAACAATAATTACTCTTTTTCACACTATGTACCCCCCCAATATAAAATATAAAAATACAATGTGAACATAAAATGAAAATTTAAGATTACGCCTTTATGGGAAAATTCAAATGGATATTTTAACGCTGGGCTTGCAAACAGCCACTTGCCTGATAATCTGTGGTGAATAAGAATTGCCACCAGAATTGCTCCATTAAGACTCTAGGTTGCTTACAGTGCAGCATGACTTTCCCACTCCCTATACAACCCCCAAAGCTTATCCCAGGTGTTGAGGAATCCCCAGGAAATGGTTGGAGGAAAAAATTGGTATGAAGGCATTTTGCACAAGAAGCATTTATAATTTCCTATCTAACTGCTCTTGATTGATCTTGTCTGGCTTCTTAAATTTCTCCCATGGTTAGCAGTAGTGAGAACTTAAATGGTGGGGACCCTAACTCTTTTACTTGCCTGCTCCTTCTCTGATTTTTTGTGTGTATAGGAAGCATGCAGGAGAAGGAATGAGAGCAATATAGATCACCGTCTGCCTGTCAAGACACCTCTAGGCATACCAGATGAAGGTGGCTACAGAACAACACACACAGTACAGTTGTGTACCAGGGGGCAGGTTGGATCCAGACAGCTGCTGGCAGGGGGCGGGTTTCTCAGCTTTTGGCAACTCCTTCCAGTAGTAGCTCCCCATGCTGTTCCTTAGGGTTTACAAGCCCTCTAGATTGGCTTTTCAAGGGGGAGCAGGGAACTTCAGTGGAAAGGAGGAGGTGGGAAAGCCTCTAGTTTCTTAGGATCCATCTTGATATCAAGCTACGTTTAAGGTAAGCTTACGTTCCTGCTACTGTTCCTCATTCACAGTTTAGTATTAAATACTGGGCAAAGTTATTGCCCCAAGATAAAAGCGTAGTTGCTTTTTATCATCCTAAAAATAATTTTGCTCTCTTTCAAATAACTAAGGAGCTTGCCTTTATCTTCGGAATGCTTTAATTAAAAATCAGGCATAAAATAATTAGCTGGTAGTTAATTCCACAGACTGTTTTGACTCTTTAATTATGAGGAAAGGCTGTGTTCTCCTGCATTTTGGTGGATGTGTGGGTGTTTTACTAGGGCAGGGCCTTATCAGCCATTGCATACAGGCTCTGGATCTCCCTCACCTCAGTGAGACATCTGGCCTCTTCACTCCTGGCTTCTGTCTCCACACTAATAGCGCAGTCCTATACATTTCTACTCAGAAGTAAGCTCCACTGAGTTCAATGGAACTTAGTCCCAGATAAGTGAGTATAATATTGCAGCCAAAGACTGTTTTGAGGGCTTTGGGAATAGTTTACTTTCTGTTTGCTGCATTTGTTTCTGTGCTTGTTTTGCTCTCAGCTATTTGGGTTTATCTATCCTACCTACATGAGCTTTATATATATATATCATTGAGATTGTGGCCACTTCTTTAAATGTTCTGTTTAGCAGAAAAGCATGTTGTAAATATTTTTAAATGAAAGTAATGCAAGTGACATAATTCCAAGGGGCATTCAGGAATTATTTGTGAGATATCCAACTGAGTAATGCCCTGACTGCCATTGAATATCACCCTTTGCCATGAGTATTTTTTGAAAAGAAATTCTAATTGCTACTCTTGCACATTCCCTTAGGCCTGTAGGGTAAAGATTGCTGCTTAACCAGTACTGTACGGTGGAACTGGTATTACAACTTCCAAACAAGTAACTTTGCTGCTGTTATTTATGTGTTCTACGCTGTAAAGTGCCACAGATGTCTAAAGGCACCCCTTGTTTTCAGTCTGACCTGCTACACGCATGTGGGAAGGGTTTGGTTATTATTTAGCAAACAGCAAACCTTCCTCCGCTGAGGTAGTCTGGTACAGATGGATGTGTCCCGTCCTGTCTCCCCCACCCCCAGCACTCATTTGTATCCTTGCACCAGCCTTGATAATTGGTTATGCTGAGAATGAGTGGCGGGCCAAGGTGAGCTTCATGACTGAGGGGGGATCTGAAGCCGAGTCTTTCGGGTTCAAGCCTGGCACTGCCCATAATGCGACACTGGCTCTAGTTGTAGAATCGTATAAGGGCACTGCTGCAGCTACAGAAGACGACCAACCCTTGGGTCTCTGCGGTTGAATGATAAAATTTAGGAGCAAATTGAAAAGCATTAATTCCCAGTCTGCTGCATTAGAATTTAATGCAAGCTTTTATATGAAAGGGAATTTTGAAATATTTTTCAGGGCTGGGAGGGGGAGGGGAATGTTAAGCACACAATCTTTCATATAAATTTTAAGGTGCCAATATATGAAAGGTCTCTGTCACATAATTCACTTGCTTAAATCAACTGTATACATCAAGTTTTACTTTACAGACTTCTTCAGCCTTTCCTGACCCATAACTTCCAGTTAGCGCAATATGTTTGTTGGTGCTGATGGGAGTTGTAGCTCAAAACATCTGAGGGGGCAATAGGTTGGGGAAATTGTGCTACTTTTTTCCCTAGGAGGATCAAAAGCAATATTTTTGGATCCTCCAAACGTGAAAATGAGAGTTGACAAAAGCCTCTCCTTGTTCAAACACTCCATTTGGAAATGGGAGGAAAAAACAACCAATGAGCTAGAGCTATATGAAGGTAAACTCAGGCTAGTTTTCTAACCACTTACACTCTTGTTTTCACAAAACAAGCTGTTTTCACAATTGCCTCCTTTAGAGTAAGATCAAACATTGGTAAGATGGGGTTCAGGGGACCTTCATTAACATCCTAGTTATTAAGCAACATTTTACTTAATTTGTTCTTAAATTACATGTTCATGTTGCAACAGTGACTTAGAATTAGAATGGTCATAGCAAGATCTTTTATCTGATCATATTGACGAACGTCAAAAGAAGCGTTGTATCATCCTCAGAGATCTGCTGAGTGCTCTTCTGTTGAGATTTGGACAGGGTCAATGAATGACGGCCTTTTCGGCCATGCCCATTCACTGCCTGTGGATCATTCTCCCCAAGGGAGCTTCTTCTCCTGCCCCACCCCTTCAAGTCTCCTTGGTGCCAGACAGAAACCTTTCTTTTCTCAGAAGTCTTTTAATTGTTTTCAACATTAAAAAAATCTTAGCATCTTTTTCAGCCAGTGTTTTACTATTGCTTATTGGAATTATATAACCTAAGAGCGATTTGTGTGTGTGTGTGTGTGTGTGAGAGAGAGAGAGAGAGAGAGAGCGCGCGCGCGCTTGTGGTGGGATTGAGTTGCTAGCTGTAGTTTGATCATGATGTTCTATACCGTTAATCTGTTTTAAACTGTACATTGCCTAGAGGCATACATAATACTGTACTTGTAATAATATATTTATTCCACACACTGCAATGCAGCATATGGGCAGTGCTTTGTAAGTCAAAACTTATAATGAAAACTACAAGTAGTACTATGAAAATAACTTTCTCTAAGTTTATTTTATACTCCATATTCAGTTCCACTTTGGTGGATAATATGGTATGCCTTATCAGTAATACAAATGACTAATCCAGTACATTAAGAACTATTTTGTTAGGTAGCTTGTTCTCCTAGTTGGATATAAGAGCATGTTTCCGAGAGAGAGAGGTACCCTTGAGGTTTAGCTGCCTTTGTCAGGGCCAAACCTTTAGTGTGTGTGCCCCCCTGCCCTGTGGAACTCCTAGCTTATATTTTATTATCTATTTATTAAATTTCTATACCACCATACATCCGTGAATCACAGGGCAGTTTACAATAGAAAAACACAAACATACATAACATAATGGCAAACAAAAACAATTCCTACCCCAGTATTTATTTTATTATAGTAGTTTGGCAGGAGCATTCCTTGCACATTTTTAGACACCTTCTAAAAACTTTTATTCAGACAGGCCTTTCAGATCTGAGATTCTTTGCCAATCAATTCTCAGTGATACGTTTCACATTTTTATTTTAATACTGTGTTTTTAGTCTGTATATTGCCCTGTGATATTTTATATGAAAATGTGGTTTATAACTATTTCAATAAACTGCAAGGGGTTGGACTAGATGACCCTTGGGTCCCTTCCAACTCTATAGTTCTATGAAATAAAATCTTGCTGTTTGTTCAGTTTTATACCTTTCATTCATACAGGTTGCTGTAAGCAGCTTGTGCATTACTGTATTCCCAGTTCAGGATGAGATTTTGATTTACTGAGCTTCGCATTCTTCCAAATACCTAGTCACACAATAATTGCATTCATCTGGAACAATATCTTGCTATATATACCATTACATGTTTTTCAGATGTTAATGGCTCTTTCTTTTTTCTAGATATGAGACATGAGTGTTGGACGCAGAAGATTAAAGTTGCTGGGAATTCTAATGATGGTCAACTTCTTTATATATGTGATTGTGGAGGTGTCAAAGAGCAGTGGCCAAGCAAAGAATTCAAAAAGGCACGTTATAATACCACAGGCCAAATTCTGGAGAAAATTTGTTCCTCACAAGGCATATTGGAATAAACAGCAGCAGAAGCTGGAACGCTTATCCAATCCGATTTTTGCATTGCTTACAAATATGACAGTGGAAGAAAGCTTATCTTCTAATGGCAGCTTTTCAAATGCGTGTGATCCTGACCCATTTGTAGCTCTACAAATTAATGGCTTTAAAGACTTGCCAGATAGATTTAAAGACTTCTTGCATTACTTGAGATGTAGAAACTATTCATTATTAGTGGACCAACCACACAAGTGCAAACATAAACCTTTTCTGCTTCTGGCTATCAAATCACTTATTCCCCATTTTGACAGAAGACAAGCAATCCGACAGTCTTGGGGGAAAGAAATTAAATCGGGAGATGCAACTGTTGTGAGGGTCTTCCTGTTAGGCCAGAACTCTCCGGAGGATAACTTTCCTGATCTCTCAGATATGTTGAAATTTGAGAGTGAAACCCACCAAGATATTCTTTTATGGGACTACAAAGATACTTTCTTCAATTTGACCCTGAAAGAGGTACTGTTTCTGAAATGGGTGAGCAATACCTGCCCAGATGCCCAGTTTATTTTTAAGGGAGATGATGATGTTTTTGTGAACACGCATCAGATCCTGGATTACTTGAAGAGTTTAACCAAGGATAAAGCCAAAGACTTGTTCATAGGTGATGTGATCAAAGATGCTGGACCTCATCGTGACAAGACACTGAAGTACTATATCCCAGAAAGTATTTATGAAGGCTCTTACCCTCCATATGCAGGAGGTGGTGGGTTTCTCTATTCTGGTGATCTTGCATTAAGATTAGCCAATGCATCTGACCAAGTCCTACTCTATCCCATTGATGATGTCTATACTGGAATGTGCCTTCAGAAACTTGGGCTTGCTCCCGAAAAACATAAAGGCTTCAAAACTTTTGGCATTGAAGAGAAACACAGGGATAATATTTGTTCCTACACAAATCTAATGTTGGTCCACAGCAGGCAACCCCAAGAAATTATTAAGATTTGGACGAACTTGCAAGATCCAGATTTAAGCTGTTGAGTACATATATGTCCAAAAGTTCTCTCCAAATTTGGGTTTAATTTCTTGGCTAAATGGTTAGTACTTTGAATGGTTTGTTTTGCAAAGCAAAACTCGCTATAAATGGTTTGTCCAGAACGTCTGAAAGAACAATTACATCAGTAACAATGCACATCATGAGGATATGGCATGTAGATGCAATCCTTTATCTTTCCACTGTCATGTGTTCAATACTTTCACCGAATAAAAACCTGAAAAAGCATACCCTTCAGAAGTTGTGATTAAACTATTAATTTAATGACCATTTAGCTCAAATATTAGAAGACCTTTCCTGTTTTCTAATTATAATAATTATTTAATTGTGGTGATAGAAGCTATACACTGTTTTGTTTTCCTGAGATAAGATATCTCGGAGACTGTTTTGGAACTCAAATTCAAGAAAGTAACTTCAAAATAAATAAACTTGGGTGGAGTGTTCAGCTCTCATACTCTAGTACTCCTATTGGAATTAAGTTACAAGTAATTTAAGTTTATGGATTTAAATGGACCTACTCATGAGTAAAATGCAACTCATGTCACCAAACAGTTGGTTTTTATGGCTTTCCTTTTCCACTGTCTCGTTATATCCTCCCACTGAACAGTATTCAGTTAAATGTGATGGAGATCTGTGTAATCTGTATGTAACTGTGTTTAAAATATCAGATGATACATATCTATGGCTGAGAAGCTGTATAGTTTAAAGTGTATTTTGGGAGGTTAAGTGTTGCTTTGCATCAGACTTAGCTAATGGTCAAGCGTTTTACACTTTTTCTTAAACTGGTACCAGACCTACACAGTCTCTTTATTTCCACAGTAGGCTTAACATTTGCTCTGTTGTCTTTTATGTTGTTAAAAAAAATCAGGCAACTTCACTGATAAAATTAACTGATATGTGAATTGTTAATTGGCTTACAAAAACTGGGCCTTCCTTATGGTCTAGGGTTAGAACCTTATGAAAATGTGCAATTTCTGAGATTGCAAATCACTCAAATGACCCCTATAATTATTAAGGGTATCTCAAAGGCACAGGTCCTAAAACACTCTATCTGCCATATCTTCATCTGTGTTATATCAGACAATTATTCAAAACAATGACTGCTTTCTTTATATACGTAGAAGTGCCTGTATTTATTGTTCAGATGGAAGACCAAAACATTTTCTTAAATATATTTAAGAAATATTTGTATAGTGTTGTCAGTCATATTTAAATAGAGTCAACTATTTTAAATGTGTTGAAATATAAAAAGTTAAATAAAGTTAATTGTTTTTGAATTTCAAAAAGTATATGTGTGTACATCCCAATTTGTATAGACAAGTCTAAATAATTCACACTATATAATGATCACCATCAGTATGTCAACTTTAATTTACTTGAGAGCTCTTATGGCCTGGGTCTGTGGTTTGTTGCCACTGGTGCAATTTCTACCATTGCACTGCTTGCTAGGAGCAAATTATAACCAGTCAACAAGGAGTGACATTTTGCACTGGAAAAGCCCCTCTGTTTCTGTGGGTGCAGCAAAGTTGTCCAAGTTCATTTCCATTTCCATGGTGTAGGGGAGGCTTAGTGGTATTATGAGGTAACATTTCAGTGGCAGAGAGACTGAGAAAGAGATCTACAGGCAGCATGGTAGTAAAGGGGCTTACAGGGGCATATATAATGCTCGTCTTTACGATAATCCAAAACTTAGAGCAATGGCATTCTTGCACATTGTTTTGAGATAGGCTCCAGTCTCCTCAGAGGGGTTTCTATCTTTTTGATGTTTAGATTTGAAGGGAAATCTGTTCATTCTTAAAAATATTCTATCCTGATATAGTTGTATGCTTACGTTAAGAAAGAAAATTGCTGAGGGAGGAATTCATCATGGCAGTCATTAGCACAAGCATCCATTTCTGGAGGTTGTTCTTATACCCCACAGCCAATTTGGGGTGGGGGTGGAGGAGAGGAAGGGGGAAGCCCCATTGCAGTAGCAGCACTCATTAGTACATTCCCCTACTCTAAGGCCACTGTTCTGTTCCCCCTTACACGGAACAAGCACCATTGAACTCAAAAGGGGCTTATTCCTGAGTAGACGTAGAGGACTGGACTTTAAGGCCCGTATCCTGTGAACACTTGCCTATGGATAAGCCCCAAAGAATACATTGCAACACACTTCTGAGAAAACACACAGTAAGCTTGTTCATCTTAGTCCTTGTCGCTCACCTCGTTTTTCCCCATTTTTCTGTATTCCATTTTGTTGCTTTACTCCACACTTACTGCACCACCAAGTTCATATTGTCTGCAATCTCTACGTTTTATCAAGAGATAAAAATGAGTTTTTTTAATTCTATTTTTGTAAATAAAATAAAATGTCTTTGAATTTGAAAAGTGTGTTGCTGTAAGATTTGATTAGAAACTTGTTTGCGGTATTTTAATACTTTGACTTTACAGCAGATTGGTTCTATCTGGTACGTTCTGTGTATGCAAAAGCAGGAACATATTCCACTTTATGTTGGTAGCAGCACTTTGGCTCCACTGAAATAGGTGAGTCAAGTTACTTTTGACTTCAGTCTCATTGATTTCAGTGCTGAAATCACTAGACACTATCCAAAAATAAAACTGAAAACAACACCTGGCCATTGAGTAAACTCCATGTATGCTGCTCTGAGCTTCTTAGAGAGGAAAGATACAATATAAATGTGATAGTAAAATAAATAAATAAATGGTAAAGCCCTTAACACAACAGTAAGTTGCCAATAACTTAATGAATGTAAGGAAATTCAGACAATTTAGACAGTAACTCCTAATAGGGAACAGGTGCTGTAAACTTAGGAACAGTCCAAGCTGCGCTGTACATCTTAAAAAGCAAGTTAATGAGAAATACACAACAGTCCCATTTCAAAATTACATGTGCAGCCCAAATTCATGTTTATTCAGAAGTCTTCCTAGTTCAGTGGCACACACTCCCTTTCCCTTCATCATGGGGTTCCAGACCTGTTCATGAGGGCAGCACGAGTAGCTTAGAAGCATTACAGTAGAAATTGATGATGAATGCAGCACAAACACTCTTAAGAATCTGAAAGCATATGCTGCCAACTTGTACCTGCTAAAGTGGTAAAGTAGAGCTCTAGCTATAGTAGTCTATTGCAGCAAAAGCAAGAGTCTTGTGGTATCTTAGAATGTTTGGCATAATCTTTCCCTGGAAAAAGGAACCCCACTGGAAGAGTACACCACTTCCAGACCCACTATAATCCCTGTACAATACTTGGATAAGGCAGCACAAATGTTACAAAAATCAATTTAACCCACAGCTCTAAAGTTCTTAAATTTTAACCAACTATTTTAAACTGCTTTGAATAGATGAGCTGAACTGAAAATGACACTGAGAAGTTAAGAAAAGGACAGCAGAAAAATGACGAGTATCTGAAACAGCGTCACCTTAATTTGTTTTGACTGAGTATACACCTTGTTAATAAGGGACGTGGGTGGAGCTCTGGGTTAAACCACAGAGCCTAGGACTTGCCGATCAGAAGGTTGGCAGTTCGAATCCCCGCGAGGGGGTGAGCTCCCGTTGCTTGGTCCCTTCTTCTGTCAACCTAGCAGTTCGAAAGCACGTCAAAGTGCAAGTAGATAAATAGGTACCGCTCTGGCGGGAAGGTAAACGGCGTTTCCGTGCACTGCGTTGGTTCGCCAGAAGCGGCTTAGTCATGCTGGCCACATGACCCGGAAGCTGTACGCCGGATCCCTCGACCAGTAAAGCGAGATGAGCACTGCAACCCCAGAGTCAGTCACGACTGGACCTAATGGTCAGGGATACCTTTACCTTTTTACACTTTGTTAATATCCTTCAATAATTTTAAAAGAAACAGTTGCACCATTGAGAGTAAGCCTTTGCTGTTAAGATAATAAAAATATAAATCCTATAATATATGGATCAAATAACAGTAGTCTTAATAAAGACATATGAAACCTCCATAAACCATGAATCAAAATAGTTTATTGAGCAGACTGAGCCTTGGGCACTCATTTATCCCCTTTCTTGGCTTTGAGAAGATACTATGGGACTGGTTCTCAAAGGGTGTGACTGACGTGCCACACTAGCAAGATCTGGCAAGATTCAAGGACAATCAAAGAAACATTTAAACGTTTCAGATAATATAATATATATATATATATATATATATATATATATGCAGAATATGGATAGATATCTTTTCAAAATGAGAACAAGAGCACCAAGTGATATTTAGGACATATTGTTGTGAACACGGATTTTCAACTGATGAATATGATAGCTCAGAAAAGAGAAAGGTTTCTTTTTGTTGATTAGGAGATGATTTCTTTGTCTCAAATTAGACCTAATATAAATGAGATTATCCAGCAAAAGAAGTTCACACCTCTCAATGAGTTTGTACACATATTAGGGTTCAAATATAAGAGGCTTGTTTATAATAATATTTTGGGAATGATTCATGTTCTTATGTAGTTGCATTATTTTATACTTTCTGGATGTTCCATGATCCTATTGTAAAGTAATTGTGTTCTGTATTATGAATCAAGCACAGCTAGGAGTTGTTTCTTTTTTGTTTTTCAGTGTATTCCTTACCAATAAAAAACTGGGTGTGGTGCAAGATTATTCTGAAAGTATGGCCCAGAGAATTTTCTTTTGATAACTGCTGTACTGTGGTTTGTTAAACCCAATCCTGGTTTGTAAGCAGTACTTAGTTTGGTCATCATGGAAAGCCATGGATTAACAAACCACAGCATCGTCTGCAGCTGTATTATATATTATTATTGTGCTATAACACGATCAAATAGCATTGTAATTCTCTGGCAACAATAGTTATGACTTCAGTTCTGTTTGTTGTTAATATCTGTGATTAGGTTTCTAAAATAAGTTAATCTTTCTCTGTAGTCTTTTCTCTCCAACATGTTTCATGAGCAGAATATGTTAAGCATTCTCCACTTTAGAACAGCAGTTTAATATGGAGATAATGTTAGATGAGGCTGTGTAAATAAATACTGGAGTGGAGAGTGGGAGACAGGGTGTGAGCTTTTCAGATTTGAATGCCTTCAACTTGACCTGGCACAGCAGGACTGGATAAAACACTTCTTTCTTCTTTCGTCTTGTTTTGAGCAAGGCCTGCCTGGGTTGCTTGGACAATATTCAAAAACAGGCTTCTTGTCTGAAAAGGTTCCACAGGGATCAATTAGACAATGGTAATAGCTAGCAAAGCACTACTTAGGTACGTACATAAATGATAAACAAATCCATATTTTAAAGTAGTTCCTTCTCTTACGGAAAAAAAAATCGCATGAAATAATTTCATGTTCACAAAGGCCCTTTTCAAAATGTGAATGCACATCCAGCTTTTCCACATACTTAACTGTGGAGTGTTTTGTTTTTTAGGGTATATATAGGCAGGCAATGTACTTCAGGTTCTAAAGTGAAACTCACATTACAATGCAAGGTTTAAAATACTTGAGAAATTTAAACAAATACCAGAAAGATCTGTGCCTGTTTGAAATGCTCCTACAATGGATGTTGAATGCTCCTACAATTGCACGCTCTCGTGTTCTTGTGGAGCAAGTGTGCAGTTTAAGACATGCAGGAAGATCATTCTCCTCTGCTGTGCACCAGGCTGCATGTCTGATTTATCATTCTTTAGGTCTATTCTTTCTTAGCATAAGCAAAAGTGAGTCTGTGAACTAGGAACTCATGAGAAAGGCACAGGGTGCGAAGAATAGCGCCTGTTCTAACCTGGTGCTTATCATATTCTTTTAGGGTCATACTAGGTGTGAGGTTAACTGCATATTTTAATGCAAATAGTATTTACAGGGAAGCCTGAGCAACCTTTTAAAATACTGTTTTTATTTATTTTCATGGTACAGAAAATTTTTGAGAAAACAACTAGTAACTTGTCCTGATAAAATTACAGACATTTATCATGCCAGGTGTTAAAGTTTCATTTGATTGCTCTAAGAGATCACGCCACATTTTCCCATGAGTGCTGGGTGGATTCCTGCCACAGCCTGAACGATTTATGTATTCAATAAACATTTGCCATATGTTATACAAGGAATATGGATTGTGTTTGCCCTTTACTACAAGCCCGAGCAACTTGGAGGGGAGGGGATTCATAGAATCATAGAATCTTAGAGGTGGAAGGGACCCAAGGGTCATCTAGTCCAACCCCCTGCAATGCAGGGATTGAATTGATGGTTTCCCCTCTGAGACATGGTTGCATTTTATAATGTGTTGTTGTTTTTTGCCGTTTGCATTTTGAAGGAAGCAAAGATGGTGGCTGTGAAGGCTTCCCATGAAATGCAAATAGCTGCTTCAGAAAGACAATTTGTTTGTAAGATCGCAGAGGGCGGAAGCTAAACGCTTTCCCCTTTCCACTCCCAGGACCCTCCCTGCAGTGGCCACTTGCATAACAACTGCAACAATAATTATCACATAGTCTTTGGTCCTTAGACAACTGGAATAATAGAATTTTCCTAAGAACCATGCCTCCAGATGTTGCTGGACTCTAGCTCCTCTCCTGCCTGCCTGTTGGGCGTTCCTGGTGATGAGAAGCTAAGAACATCTGAAGATCATCATGTGGGTTGCCACTGGCATGGAAAGCTCAGTAAGAAGCTAAGCTTGAAGCACCAGTAAAAGTCATCCTTGTCTCTTTGTGTGCCAAATTCACTGGAACTAGAGGTTTATTGAATATATATATCTCAGGATTTAAGAGGCAGAAGGAAAAAAAATTACGTCAAGGATAACGCTGTTCTTTATCAAGCTCTGATTGGTCCCATGTGATTAAATTACAGCTCGCTTACATGAGACCAAGGGAGATATGTTATTTTTCAACACAGTTACTTTAATTTTCTTCACTCATAGGAGAGGAGTGAGGCTGGTGGTGTCCTTGGGAATCCTGAGCCCTGTTTTTCATGGAAAAAGAGGTTTATTGAAATGGAAACACAAGAGTTCTTTGAAAGAGTGGTGGACAAGAGATTCTCATGAATTATAATTTTATGTTATTTTATGTGAACCGCCCTGAGATCTGCAGATAAAGGGCAGTATACAAATTTTAATAATGTTCAAATGTCACGTCTCCTTAAAAAGTCTTAAAAAGTATGAATTGGGTACCTTTCAGTTGTACCTGCATAAACATAACTTGTAGTCCATCATTTTCACAAAATAAATGCAGGTGGAAAACAATCTTAGTTTTGCTTCCTGAGTAAGAAAGTAATAAGAAATTAAATACATACATTATCTTTACAAGTGCTTTTATACTGCAGTATTATGGCAAAAGTGCATCTCCAGCATTTAAAAGTAACAAAAGGCTATTCCTTCCCTAAGTGGAGTGGTCATTTAAGAGAGTTGCATCATTCTGAATTAATCTCATAATATATAATATGCTTTGAGTATCTGCATCACGTCACACAACCACTTTTTGTGCTACAATCATGATGGCAATAAATGCACTGCTGTGGCTTGAGACATGAAGGATGTTTACAACACGAAACAAAACACCACCCTGTAATAATGGAGGAGGGGAAGAATTTGGTATGCAAAAAGGTATCTGCAAAGCAACTAAGCCACATTTAATAACCTTTA